TACAAAATGAAAATAATACAATTAAAATGGAGCATAGAACAATTCTTAATTTCAGGCTAGAGCTGTGGAAATCTAGACTTTCCCAATCATTATAGACTTGAGTTGGTCTCATGTTTTACATTATTCTCTTGGGTCAACGTCACAGCTCATACCATACACTAACAAGACCAGCTTGCCCCCCTCCGGAGCGCCTGGATTTTGGTTATATCATCTAACATGGCCAACTCTGCTCTTAAGTAAACAAGAACCTAATCAGCGAGGGGTCCTTTATCATCCCTATGTGGCTGCTTATAAAAATCTGATATCTTTTCCCAAAGACCTGGTTAATAATATATTTTCTGCTGAATATTCGAAACAAATAGAGTGAGTTGGTACTACATGTACATATGTATACGGTTCTATTTTAAATGCAGCGCTCCATTATGAAAACAATTTGTTTTAACGCCGCTCTCAGCAGTATTCCAGTGATATATGACGGCGGTCTGTTGTATATGAAATATATGCAAATTGAATCTTGAATCTTGAAAGTCGTAACATGTCCGCAAATAAGTATCACATGCAGTATACAGTATATCAACTGCAATATACTGTATACAGTATACATCAGTATACAGTGTGTCGCGAGCTCTGCGCTGGGCTGGAGCACACATTTCCTACACCTCTCCCTTCGGCAAACACATCACGAGGGTTGCAACGAGGTCACAGGTCAGGCGTGCACTCGTCAGTTGTATAATACGGTCGAGAGTAAGATCTTCCGGAAGACCACTGCACTGGAGGTATGTGGATTATTGAGGAGGTACTACGTGTTTGGAACTGGGAGTTGAACACTAAGCACTTTTAGAGAAGAGCTCACAATAAAACGTTATGGACTCGCGGACGGACTTGTGTTTTCATTTCAAGGCGTACATTTATCAGATTGAACTTCCTAACTGTAACAATAACTGAACTTTACGCCTTTTATACACATTTGTGTTGGGGCGACAATGCGACAACGAGACATATTTTGACCTTGAAAATGTCGCGTTATGGCATCGTCGCCCTTTTGTAAAATAAAGAAAAGGATTATCAAAGAGCGACAATGCGAACACGCGACAATGCAACAAATGGCCAATTGTCGCGCTTTTGTTAATTTTGACACGTTTTGCTTGTTTTTGTAAAGGCGTCAATGCGACAATGCGACAACGGGACAATGTCCCTTCCATAGTAATCCGTGCAAATAAAACTGAGTAATGAAATAGAAGTCTGACATGCCAGTTAAAAGATAGAGTGTTGCAGCTTCTGATTTCATAGATCTTCAAGAAGGGTTATCAATAATGGGATGGGTGATGAGTTCAACTGCATACGCTGTGATTAACAAAAATGCTCCGAGTCAATACATTTTGTCAAATGTATGACATGTATTACGTGAATGAACATATTGTTTATACTCGTCCATGTTTTTGACGGACACAATAATTTACATGCTCGGTAAAACTGAGGACGGGCATCATTGTGTGTTTCCGTGCTTTGTTCAGGTGAACAATTGACTTGTCCATGCATGTTTTGTGACGGGTGCCACTTGTGTGGCAGGATACGCTCACCATTGGAGGACTTGAACCACTTCGGATTTTTATCCCACATCAGTCTGATACACCATGATAAAACTGAAATACTGTACAGTTGAAAATGAAGTTTAATGCGATTACCGTAGTGTGTTACTGCAACTGTTCATATTTTGTGCAGTGATGTTATGTAATATGTAAAAGAAAGCATATTCAATTATCCAATTGATTTAAATAGAATATACTTGCGTCAGTGTATTTTATTAACGCCCCAAATCGTAATTTAAACACATAAAATAACAGATCACGCATGGTGCCTTGACCTACTACTAGATTTAACGGGCCACCCCGGAATAAAATAGTTCCCCCAAAGCGAGGAACATATGTTTTAGTATGTTTACAAGAAATATATTCCAAACAATATCCTCATTAGATGAGAAGATCTTTTACAGAATTACCTCAGTAAGTCAATTACAATGACAGAGCGTCGTAATACATTTACATCAAGTACAATACGTCAAAATGGCCGACACGATAAACGTGACGGGAGATATTTTCGAAGTTGTTAATTAACCTGTGGCTATTTCAAGCCTTTGGCATCACTGATCAATTGGCCGATCATTGAAAGGTGATTGTGAAGATGTGTCAAATAGATACTAAGGTAAATTCATAGATTTCTGTAAATTGTCACTGCGACAGTTTGGATTTTTTTTCGTGTTTTTTCTCTCTGGGATGGGTTGCAGCGAGGGTATCCTTAAATGGGCTTGCAACCACGCTTCTGTATGAATTCGTACCAGGGAATTCCAAGGGTTTTCCCAAGGAATGTGGAAGTAGTCAGTGTTTACGCCTTTTCAAGAATACAGTCACGTGAAGAACGTCATGTGACCGACCTCTCGTCCAAGTCGTATATCTTGTAAACTTCACATTTAAAAATTAGTTATTGTTATATCCAAATGAAACACAACCCATTATCCGATAGGGGTAACTGTACATAGCCGTTACCACAATAAACTTAGTAACATTGTTTGGTTTGACTTCTTGGCGCGTGTCTGAATTCCATTAACATGTAACATATCCTAAAACTAGCTTATCAGCAAATCTCGCTGCACTGCGCGCGACAGATACAAGAGCAAGGCATGCCAGAAATACGAAACCTAAAGCTTCCGAAAGGAAGCCTTGGACATCACGTGCGTCGGGGGACCAGCGCCATCTGATTGGCCGTTAACAGTTGTACAAGGCGGAGTAAAAAGCATCGTTTTTCCGTCCATTTTACGCTTGAAAAACTCGACCCTTTTCTGGACACTTTCTAGACGCTGACCAATTAATCAATTTTAATGAATTTTTAGTCGTTTTTCCGTCCAATGACCATATACGGAAAAAAACGACGTTTTCGTGTTTGCAGTGCTACTAGGTTTCCGTAGATATTTAATCTTTCCGCGGATTGTGAAACTATCGGTTGACGGGATATGTGCAATAGCTTGTTACAGGAGGGATCCTCGTCTGTGAGTACACATATAACTGTTCCGGAGATACTTCGATGTATAGAGTACTTATTACATTCATGGTACTGCTGAAAGTGCACGATAAAATACCACGTCTTCTAAAACGACACACGAGGGTCGCAGAACAACGCGCCACGACACATGTTATGTGGACATTGTGAGCAGACTGTGTAAACATGCTAATGCAGTCTTGTTGATTCGAGAACAACTCGCAGCAAGTTCTGTAGATCTGCTTGTCATTCAGGTGGCTTCAGGTGAGGTGAGGTGAAATGGGGTTTAACGTCGCGTTCAAGATTATTGCACTTATATAGCGACGTGCATGCACGTGTGTGTGTGTGTGTGTGTGTGTGTGTGTGTGTGTCTCTCTCTCTCTTTCTTTCTCTCTCTCTCTGTCTGTGTGTGTGTGTGTGTGTGTGGCTCATGCCGATTTATAGTGCTAGCCCACTGAGATACCATGTCGCAGTTTAACATGAGTACCCCACTCAGACACAGAAAACTGACTCCGAGCCGACCAGACCTCGTCTGAGGCCCTTAACGCCGAGCGCCAGACAGGGTAACAACAAGTACCATCATTTAACGTCTTTTGGCATGGCGCGGCGGGGGCTCCGGGCGGATGCTCTTCCACTCGACCACGGAGGCGGTCAGATGGCTTCAGAAAAGGATTGTGACGTTAATAGTTATCAGGAAAGACAATGTCTGAGTAGAACAATTAATAGCTTGACAATGTCGTTGTCCTCAAACACAGCGATTTAGCTGCGGTTTTCCGTAAATGTTTTGAAGGCTATGGAGGACACGCAAGAAAAGTTCGAAGTAGGTTGTATTTAAAAAAGAATTGAGCTACTCAATCAAATTCAGGTCAATGCCAGTCACAACACGTAGTACGTGTACAATATACAGAACCACCTCCATGTGGGTAGTGGATAGAGAGTCTGCCTGGAGAGTGAAAGGTCGGTGGTTCGATCCCCGGCTTCAAAAGAAGGTATATTTGTTGTTACCGTGCCTGGCCATGGGCATGAAAAAAGGACTGGTCGGGTCGGAGTCAGTATAATGTGTTTGAGTGGGGTACTCATGTTAAATTGTGGCATGGTATCTCAATGCGCTAGGTCTGTAAAATCGACATTAGTCCGGACTATAGTATACCCCCTTGTGTATGCATCTCGCTATATAAATATAATGCTCTTCAACATGCACAAATAGATTTCGCAAAATACGTTAACTTTTAGAATCACCAAATACGAACACTGCGACGTTTTCAGTTTACCTCACCCGATTTTCCATTATTCCTCATATATATTAACGGAGGCACTAGTGGCCCAGTTATATGAGGCGCCGCAACTCGTGTAAAGGGCTGCGTCCCTTGGGCACGCCAGAAACCTATGATCTGGGTTGCGCCCAAATTACGTTTCTAGGGTTGTCAGTGACATACCCGTGCTCGTGGCAAACGTCTGAGGCCTGCATCACTTCGGGTTTTCCTCCCACTATTCATGACACGAACTCACATTACTGGAACACCGTTCAGAGTGGCGTTGAACTCACTCACTCCACTATCAAAATGGCATGGCACAGCTCAGCTCAAGAACAGGCATCTTGCCGAGGCAAGGGAGTTAACTGACTGTAAAAGTCCAGTTTCCAAACTTGCCAAAATAGGCTGGAATTTCTGGGCTTGATCGCAACGTCACCAGTGGCTATTACGAGTTACGCCCTTCTATTGTACGGCAGTTTACCAACCGGATGTAGATTTCGTTACGCGAATTTGATATGGACTATGCCAATAAATCATAAATCAAGCCTAGTTCGGCAAGGGTGGAAACTGGACGTTTATAGTCGGTTAACTACCTTGTCTCGTGAAGATAAAGAACAGACAGCCGTCAATTTCGTATTTTACATTGGCATTTTACACAGGTGTACGGGGTTATTGGTGAAACTGATTGAGAATTAATATTGCACGTTTCTATAGAGCAGCGACAAGGCACCAGTATGACAACATATCCCCCGGGGCCCGAACCTCTCCTCCCTGGCATGGTGCGAGGCCAGACGGTGCAAGAGTTCATGGCAGGATGGGGTACATCTGATGGGAGTGAGACGCATGAACTGATCGACCGAGTTATACGATTTCTGAGAAATAATGTTCCAATTAGTGTTGCGAAGATTGTCAAGGTAGGTTTGAGCGATATATACTAGTCAAAGAAGTCAAAGAAAACCCATTTTTTTCATTTGACTTGGCAAAAATAATAATTGCATCCTGAGGGACGTACAATAATATTCATTGACCAAATTCTGGACAAGAAATATATAGATCATGTCATTAACATGAATAAAGTAATTATCAAATCTTAAACAGTACTGTACACAACACCATTTCATTACTTTACAGGACCCTGGATATCAATTATTGGGGGTCCCCCGGAGCCGTGTTTTGTAGGTCAAAGTGAAATCCTGGGGTCATATGAAAAAGTCGGGTCTTCTTTAACTTCTTTTGAGAAGAAGATGTATAATAAAGTAAGGTCCTAAGTTCCATGTCACGCCTTACAGTGAAACATCGTTAATTTAAACTCTAACAATCGCTGAAGCTTTCATGACTATGTAGAATAAGATATGAGTGAGTGAATATCGTTTAAGGCCGCAGTATTCCGGCTATTTCACAGCAATCTATTGATACAAGAACCTGAACAAATCAAGTCCAAGGACATCAACTCAGTACCATTGTTGATTTCTGGCATGTGTTAGGCGGCCATGTTCCTATTTCTTTGAAGGGTGGATCCATTGGAAGGAACACTAATTTCAGCACTCCCTCTGACGTGGACATCTTTGTCTTCTGTAATGACCTGGGTTCTGTGCATGGTATGACTACACAGACGAGGGGGCTTCTCAACACCATCAGATCCAAGCTGGACTCCAGAGAGTGGTTACCATCAGCTGGGAGTATAGGGCCCATTGAATACACGGCTCACTCCATCACGTTTCTTCTGACATGCCACGATTTGGAACAACAACACGTCATACACATATTCCCTTTGTACGACATCCTAAAAAGTAGGTGGTTTCATTCTCGTAACTTGGACATTTCAATTTTGCCATCTTTAGTTTACAGGAACCCTTCTTGTGGTTTGGAATTCCATATTTGGACTGATTTTGGCCTGCCTTGTATCTCTGCCACAGGCCAGCGCCATGTTACGATTCGTCACATCTTACGCAGTCCGTTCAATATATTGCATATGTTTCATCTGTTTATTTTTTGACGAGTCTACACATTTAGATAAATATATGTCGTAGAATGGTTAAATTTCAGATAATTTCATAAACCGTGAAAAACCATTTACATTTGCGTACAAATACAATTTGTTCACATTTGTTGTACGGCATCCACGTGCTGTCATCGAAGCCCTACGGAGAGCTAGCGATACGGTCACTTTGATGTATGAAGCTGTTTTTGTCAAGCACTTCACTGTTGCTGTTGTAGTAGCATATCTTTATAACTATGCAAAACAATATATAACGCGCACCGAAATGCTTTTGATTAGGCCAGTCTGTTCTGATTTCAGAATAAGTGCATTTGTTTACGAACAAGAGAAATATCCGGTCACATGATATGCAAATAAGCCTTTGTTCACAAAAAAGCAAAGATGTAAAATCTGTTTTATTACTTGCCCCTTTAATAAACATACAGCCGTGTGTAATACCAAAGCACGTGCTTATGTACTGCGGGAACAAGCTTCACGAACAAATATTGAAAGCTCTCAACATCCCTTGGCTAATTCAACGGCATTGCGTGTGGAGATGATAGATCACTGAGAGGAGCTTATTGCACACTCGATGACTCCAGCATACCTGTTGCTAGGCTGGCGTCACATGGCAGTGTTTCACCGGTGGATCTTGCAACAAAATGCCACAAATAATGTCATAGACGAATGTTACGTAATTATAAACTTGCAGCGTCCCGTTCTGGAGGCGCAACTTTTCTGTTAAAGTACGTGAGTTACAATAACCTTAACGCTACGATAACTTTGTGGAACGGACGCCTGAACTCTAATGGTGGGTCGTTGTATGGTATTAAAATAATACTTTTCAATTCTTGACGTATTTGATGTATTATTCTGTTAAACTCAATGGGATTATGCTGTGGATCGTGTAGGTGTCTGCCTATTCACACATGGGAGTGAAATTCTAAAAAGAGATAAATGAGAAGTTATAAATAAAATTCCAAACTTGCTCTCGTTAAATGAATAGTTCTGGTATTTGACTTGCGTTTGCTCGTCAGATAACAGAACTATTCACTCATTTGATAAAATGTGTATTGCACGGAAGCTCGTTTAGTATTCTATATCTGGTTATGATGTTATGTTCTGTATCCTTACAGACAAGAACGTGCACGACGTGTACATGGACATGAGAGAACTCCCTGATGATTACAGAGACTGCTACTCCGCGTGTCTGGCGGAGATACAGATAGGCTTCATCAAACAGGCGCCGAGCAAAGTACACTCCCTCATGAGACTCATGAAGTACTGGCTGAAGGTAATTTTAGCAAGAAGCTCTCATCATATGCATGTCCCGCCACGTGTGTGTGTAACGTGAGCTCGAACGCCTCAACGAAACCCTTTCAATAATCATACGTACGATTCCGATAATAACATAGACATATTAGGAGGATTAATTGGGAAATAGCGAATTATATCTTTATTGGATGATATCAGATCATCGATTAACCTGAGGCTTTTACCGAATTTCCGTGTTTTGCTTTTGCCAATCGAAGCATACACTCCAAATGATAAGCATAAAGCAACAGGCCATCAAGGAGGGGAACACAATTGCTGCGCACTTCTTGGCTACATGTCCTGTCCCCAAATTCCGCAGGGATATAGTCTTTGACGCAATGTTGATTGTCTTTTGAGATACTGGCAAAGACCATTCAAGCATATGACAAAAACAGTACTCGATCATGTCAGAAGCCAAAACCTCGCCAGTGTATGAAAGGTTGAAGGTCTAGTTTCGTTTTATTATCTTCCCGAAGCGAAGCAAGGGAGGTGACTGTAAAAGTCCAGTTTCAACACTTGCCGAACTAGACTCGACTTTCGTGGCTCGATCGTAGCACCACAGTGGTTATTACGAGTTATGTCCCTTCCATGACCCTTCTTTTGACTGTTTCCTCTCATATATATCGGTTCCATTTTCAGTCGACCGAAATCTGCGTGTTGAAATCCATGTTTTTTTCGAATCGGATGTCTCGTTCGTTTCGCGATTTTGATTGGACTAGTGCTATGCATAGACTCGTTATCCAAACTGTGTCTACGAGATTCCAGCCAAGTTCCGCAAGGGTGGAAACTGGACTTTTAAAAAAACCGGGTCTTACCCAGCGGAATGCATTAAATCACTTGAGCACCTGACTATGAGTAGATTATTAAAATATCTTTGGACGCCCAGTCAGTACACATGCTCTGCAAATCCTGCAATCGATCGAAATCTGCAGGACAGTCGCCATGTTGTTTATTTCGTTCCGCGAATTTGATTGGACCATGCATAGACTCGTTAATCCAGCCAAAGTATAACTCCATAATTGCAGCCTAGTTCGGCAAGGGTGTAAACTGGACTTTTAAAGTCAGTTAACTCCCTTGTCTCGAGAAGATAAGATTTATGAAATTTGAATATGCTTTATAATTTCCATAGTTTTCACCAATATTTTCAATTTCCAAAACCTTAACATGTATAACTTTAACATATGTTGCATTTCCAATGAAACAAAAGGAACCAACACTATGCATGACAGCTCCATCAAATGACCACAGTCATCGTCGGTTATCGCAACTCCCAGGTGTAGTGAGTGAGCAATGTTTTACGCCGCTTTTCGCGATATTCCAGCAATATCACGGCGGGGGACACCAGAAATGTGTTTCACACATTGTACCAATATGGTGAATCAAACGTGGTATGGTATAACTTATTTGTTTCTCTACATGTACGTCGGGTCAGGTATTGATCACACGTCAATTAATTTATAATCGAAAGACATTGTTTGAATAATTATATCTGGGAGTGGGTCAAATGGTTTTAAAGCGTTGAACTTCGCACATAAGGCTGAAGTTTCAGGTTTTATTCGCTAATGCGATAAAAGGTTCATATAAGCGGTGTAATCCTCCTCTCATTTATTCATTTTTCATGGTTTTTTAAACTTTTTATATATGCAGATAAATAGCCACGGTATACATGTAGCCAGCACGCCCCCACGTGACCAGCGGGTTGTGGGACACTTTTAATCTTTTGTAGGCGATATGATACAGTATAAAAAAAAGATAAGATAAGATTGATAAAATAGATGAGAAAGCGGAGGAGAGTGAAAGGGGGAGATAGATATAGAAGATTGTGGTATTTTTCGGACCACTTGTTTTGAAATTATTCATTGTTATTCATTCACGTGTAAAAACTCGTTTCGGATATGCACGTTCTCAGAAAAGACTTCAGTTTCCACAGTCAGACCTATTTTAGTTTTTTATCAGTTCTGTTTATTCACTATTCATGACACACTGCGGACTTCTGTGGCTACAAATCACCCGACTTCTTCACTGGTTCAAGGCCCTTAATCATGTCAGGATCCGCTAGTTTGTTCCAATCCAAGCTCCAATTACGCTTCATGGTTTGTTAGCACAATACAAAATTAATACACGTGGGTACAATACAAGTGCTCATGGCTTTCATCCAAATGGTGACGTCAACGACTAGCATCACTTTCCTCCAGATGGTATGTTGCAACGGGTATAGTGATCGTTCAAATTGCCAATAACACCAACTCACTCACGCTATTGCAGATGGATGTGAAGACTGACACAGGCTACTACTTTATCGAGACCATGGTCATGCACAGGTAATGCAACATATTTCAACCTGCGTGCAGAGCATGCTGCCATACATCAGCTGTATTTTAGTAGCACCTACTAAAGAAATAAACGACGAATGGGAGTTGTTTATCGCACAATAAAACACTACTGGGAGAATAAACCAAGAGGGTCTGCGGGTTTATTTTCCCTGCAGTGTTTTATTGTACGATAAACATGCGCCCCTCATGGTTTATTCTCCCTGCAGTGTTTTATTGTACGATAAACATGCGCCCCTCATGGTTTATTCTCCTAGCAGTGTTTTATTGTACGATAAACATGCGCCCCTCATGGTTTATTCTCCCTGCAGTGTTTTATTGTACGATTAACATGCGCCCCTCATGGTTTATTCTCCCAGCAGTGTTTTATTGTACGATAAACATGCGCCCCTCATGGTTTATTCTCCCTGCAGTGTTTTATTGTACGATAAACATGCGCCCCTCATGGTTTATTCTCCCAGCAGTGTTTTATTGTACGATAAACATGCGCCCCTCATGGTTTATTCTCCCTGCAGTGTTTTATTGTACGATAAACATGCGCCCCTCATGGTTTATTCTCCCTGCAGTGTTTTATTGCACGATAAACTCCCACTCGTCGTATATTTCTTGTATGAGACATCAGCATGCCATTATGTACAGCCACTTTAAGGATGTTACTAAAATGTACCAATAGAATCCGACCTCGGCGATATCGGAAAAATCAAATTATGAGGGTTTTTTCCACATAGTATCACAATTCGCACGTCAATTACCTGTATTTTTTCTCACAATACCGATTGTCATATCTCTCCCACTTTTGCATACGATCGTTCGGCCAACGCGTTTGTCTGCGCTTCCCTGCTTCATCTATTGGGAACAACTCATTAGAGACTCCCCTCTCAAAAATAACGTCGTCAAATATATGACGTCGTTAAGCTGTGATCGCATGTTCGAATCTCCAGAAAAGACATCATGATGGAAAAATGTTTTCACGTGAAACACTTTCTGATATATGCTTTTAGGGGTGAACTGATTTTGAACCACGTTGAAGCACACTCTTCGTAACATGAATAACGAATATTGAAATGTGAATAATAATTTGTATTTTAATCGAAGAATGTTAGAATTATCCATAAGTGACTAAACTACCGGGAAAAACAAAGAATACACCCATGTTTGATTGTGAAATTGTCATTCGATGATTGTGTATTTGATATAGGTGTCACAGTTGTGTTTGTTTGCAGTGTTTCGGCGACTGGTTTCAGACAAGTAACTTATTGATAACGTTTGAAAAGGTCAATATTTTCAAGTGTATACTTTCTTTTGCCCGGCAGTATATTTTTATATTCATTTCAATTCTATGTGAATGCTACTTCTATTTTTAGATGGCAGCGGGCGGGAAAACCGGACGCCTTCAACATATGTGACTGGTTTGAAGAGATTATGACACAGTTGGCCGACCTTACATCGCTTAGTATTATATGGGAAGATAAATACACGGCAAGCAACTACAGGACCGTTCCGTATGCATATTCAATTTCATATCAATTCCTTTATCAAATGCCAATGTCTCATATGTGTTTTATTTGTGTACATTTGGGCAACTGGGAGCTGTAACACGGTTTAGTGAGTGAGTATGGTTTTACGCCGCTTTTAGCAATATTCCAGCAATATCACGGCGGGTGACACCAGAAATGGGCTTCACACATTGTACCCATGTCGGGAATCGAACCCGGGTCTTCGGCGTGGCGAGCGAACGCTTTAACCACTAGGCTACCCGACCGCTCCTATAACACGGCTTTGAGACTTTATCAGTAATGGTTCTGTGCTGGTAAGCGGCACCTAAAATGGAGATTGAGGGGTCTTAATAAGCCCCGAGTACGGATTGACATGCAACCAGGATGAGTGTGACATATATGTAGGTCCCCGGTGGCGTTGGCCCTTAACCTAACGAACACAAAAAGCTACTGATGTGTGTGGTCGTACAGTCGTTATAAATTTATATAACAAATTGAAGGTATTCTCTATTGGAAGAAGATATCAAATTTGAACAATGCTGAGGAAATGTACAAAGCCCCGGCAGAAACAACATTATCCCACTTCATAACTAACATGTAGATGTACACAATACGGTCAAACATTTATGACAATAATGCTTCCAGGTCGAAACCGGTGGTGTTGGACCCTGCAAACCCCTTCAGAAACGTCATCCCCGATCAACGATGCTGTGAGAGTATGATGAGATGTGCCAGAACTGTGGTCCATCGGAGCCAACAACTTAAGGAGTACAAACGTGAAGGACCCGCCCCCATCCTTGAAGGAATGGAGAGAGGACAATCACTGCAGCAATTTATCCAGTACACCGTACAACCGAGCAGTGACGACCGCCGGAAGTGCGACCATCTTGTGGATCGTCTCACGTACTTCCTACAGCATCACACGCGTCTCAGTGTCAACATGGTTGTCAGGGTGAGCGGCATGTTACTTACGTTAATGATGCATGGAACTTATTGAAAAGAGATATTACATATGTCTGACTTTATTTAAGAAGTGACCTCAATTTTCAATTGCGTTAGATGAGTATAACCATAGAGTCCGACGTGAACGATGTTTAAATCCCCACAGCGGATTTACGCAGACTGTGCACACGGGTTTCAATTCTTTTAAATGGATACGTCAACAATAATATCTTCATAGAGTGCTTTTTAATAATAAACACAAAAAGGTGAGTACAACGAACCGAAATTAGAGGCATAGCTGAGAATCAATTATGTAACACTAGATCCGTCCTTTCTATCATCAGCCGACTGCTTCCGTGGTCCAGTTGTAGGAGAGCGGGCGTCCGCGTCATACTGAAAGACCTTAAAAGATGGTACTTGTTGTTACCCTGCCTGGCGCTCGGTATTATTGGCTAAAACAAGGACTGGTCGCCTCGGAGACAGTATACTGTATATGAGTGGGGTATTCATGTTGCACTGCAGCATGGTATCTCTGTAGGATAGCACTATAAAATTGGCATGAGTCCGGACTAGTACAAGCAGCCACACACACAAACACACACACTCACACACACACGCACGCACACACGCACGCACACTCAGACGCACGTCGCTATGTAAGTGCAATATTCTTGGACGCGACGTTCAACCCTATTTTAACTCACCTCCAATCAGGAAAAAGAAATCCACTAATAACACAACACGTGTATGCAATGACAAATGATGAAATTTATTTCGCTGCAGTGTGACTGTTCTTTGTAATATATCCTCACAGGGCGGTTCACTTGGAAAGAGCACGAACGTTCTTGGAAAGTCTGACGTCGATCTCGTCGTGTTCGTAAACAACGCCAAGTCTCTCCAAGACCTTGCGACTAAGATGTCAATCCTTCTGAATATTTTGCAAGATGCCCTGGATTCAAAATGGACGGAATTTGCAGGATATTTGGAGTATGTAAACCGGTCGGACCGAGGACTTCAGTACAACCTCAGCTGCGGAGACAACGACCATGTTCACGATGTCGACATTCTGCCATCCTTCAACATCCTCGGAGGTGCGATATTCATCCGTTCAGGGTATAAGGAAAGACTCTCCCGGTTTCTTTTCAGAAAGTAAATGTTACACTGGTACAGTTTGTATGGAAAACAAATTGAAACGCAGAGGTTTATCCAGAAATCTCTACGTACAGACCTAAATTGTGAACTCATAAGATGACCACACAAGGTAAAAAAATAATCAATACATAATACTGAAACCCAGTCTTAGGTTTACAATCAAAACAGGCAATACAATTGGTCAAATACCTGGCGGCTGCAGTAAGTATCAGGTCCTATAATAAGTTAGTGCACTGGCGAAGGTCTATAATTTTGTCTCTGTCGATGTCTTGAAACAGGACTTGTGTTGGAAGATGGAAGAATCTCTTTTTTCACAAATCGATATCCAATCCACGTTTGGCAAGTAGATCAGATCAGGAAAGGCCCCAGATCGCCCTCTTGTACAGGTACAATCAGCCTTCGCCTGTCCCGACCCGAAACTTCTCGAACGATTAAACCTGTGTTTTATGTGTGTCAACCGCCTGGGGCGGACAACCCTATATTCGACTTGCCCTGCAATCATTATTGCAGCCACTGACAATAACTACAAAAATATACAACAATCTCTAATGCCAGATAACAAATAAAATACCACAAATATCCCCGTTCATAACAGATTAACTGCCAGCCTTGATGTGTGTTTTTATATGTGTCATTTCCACATTATTTCTTCCGAACGCCGTGGAAGAAGAATAACGTTCGTTAACCTTCGGTGTGGACTTCGTGGGTTCTAATCCCTAATTTTTCGTCAAATTGTTCCATCATCAGTTAAATACTAGGCAACAAGAGAAGTCCCGTCCTTGGCAAGTAGTGACATCTTCAGTTGAAGGACCATATTGCTTTTAGACGTACCTCACAATATCAATATCAATGGTTTGTTTGGTTCAGACTCGATTATTTACAGCCGGTCGTCATAACGCGTGAATATTAAGACAACAAACAACAACTGTTCATTTTAGATATTACTCTAGAAAATGTGTGTTTTTACTAATTGATATAATTATTAATTCAGCTATCGAACAATAAAAAACAACGCAAATAAAAAAAACCAACAGTCAAATTGTAGAGAATAGAAAAAACTACTAAGGCCTAACATGGCACAGAGATGTTTGAATATTCGGTGATCAGGTAATTTGAGGTAATGCTAATTCAGGTTGTCATCGTTTTACGGAATATTTGTGGTTTCAGCTAAATCTCCTCTTGAGGTGTTCAGTGAGATGAAACCCATGACGGACGATGAGAGGCGGTTGTATGCGCCATGTTTTTCTCAGAAACAGGTGGACTTCGTTAAGCAGACTCCTATCAAGGTGAAGAATCTGATACGGCTGGTGAAATACTGGGCAAAGGTGAATACTGGACTTTGGTTATCGAGAAACTGAACACTTTAAACTATTTATGTATGACATTGCTGATTGCATAATTATGCCAGTGACGAGCATGTTGTAATCTTCTTAGTAATACAGGGGCAGTTGGGTAGCCTGGTGGTTAAAGCGTTCGCTCGTCACGCCGAAGACCCGGGTTCGATTCCCCACATGGGTACAATGTGTGAAGCCCATTTCTGGAATATTGCTAAAAGCGGCGTAAAACCACACTCACTCACTTGTTAGTAATGGCTGATGTAAAGGTGGTGATGGAAGGTTTACTTAATGTCTTTACATATTGAGATTAAGGGATTATTTGGAATAAACTTCATTGTTAATGACATTTGACCCAGGCGGAGGACAATGTCGGCACATTCAGTGCGTGGGTCACTGCACCTGAAACATTACAGAAATACAATGTAGTTTAAAAGAGGTCCATCAAAAGTTACTAACATGTTTCTCATCATCCGTACTTAGGACATTTACAAGTTGATATGTGAACGGTATGTTTCCACTGCGATCAGTAGGCTTAGGGTAGTTCGATAAATCCGGTTTTATATTAGTTAGTTTAGGTCTTCAGCTACCCATGCTTGCCGTAAAGGCGACTATGCTTGTCGTAATACAGTAAACTACGGTTATAACGAACACGCTTATAACGAACTGACGGATATAACGAACTTACTGTTTTGGTCCCGACTATGTGCTGTAGTTATGCTGTATATATATTTATAACGAACTTCGGTTATAACGAACTAAAATTAGCAGTCCCTTTAAGTTCGTTATAACCGTAGTTTACTGTAGTCGCTAAACGGGATCGGGTGTTCAGACTCGATCGGGATCGGGTGTTTCATCGTATCCCAATACTGCGTAGAACGATGCTCATGATGTCAATCATTGGATTGTCGGGTCCAGACTCGATTATTATTGACATACCGCCGTCATATGGCTGGAATATTTTTGAGTGCGGCTTTAAACAACAAACTATATTAGTTAGTACATAATATGGTATATTATTAATGTCAACGATTTAAAAGAAGGGTTGTCTTCCCTTGCCTCATTTATACCCCTTCGGTTGCTAACTAGTTTTCTGACATAATACATCCAAATCACGTCTGGCTAGTGTTTAAAGATTATTGCCAGATTCATGTTGTGAATATCGACATCTTGATCGTTGAGTGGAGTTTTCTTCAAGATGAACGTAACTCTGTTGCAGAACATGCAGGTGGGTCCCATGTACATGTAGATGAGTCATTTTCACATCAATCATGACTCCTTAAAATGATTGTTGTTGTTTTATAATGACAGGTAGAAGTCAACATAGAAGTCAAAGCTGTGACGTCATTCTTCCTGGAACTATTGGTCATCTCTCATTGGATGACTAATGCCTCTCCATCCGACTTCGTCACCAAGGATTGGTTCCGGGAGATCATGACCCAGCTGACCAATCTGACGTCACTGCGAATATTGTGGCCTGAACAATACGACGCAGCCTCATTCTGTGTATTTCGGTAGGTTGCATTTATTTTAGTATTTTGATCAACCTTTTGAATCATCTGGCCAGGTTTGCAAATTTTCGATCGATCAATATTGTCGTCATTTGTGCGTGATTGCGTTCGTTTGTTCGTTCGCTTCAGACCAGAAGGTCTACTGAAACGTTCCGATATTGAATTAACAGTGTTTGCGCAGTGAAGATTAAGTTGTCTCCCCTTAACCGCAAGGCGTCCAACTCAGTCAACAACCATTTGTTCTGTCAATGAATGTACATTGTGAATAGAAACAGGTTCTGAATAAAACAGATAATGAATAAAAATAGAGTAATGTATTGTAGTTTTTTTTTATTTTCGCGAACATCTGGTCTCGTCTCTGATTTTCAGCGATCCATTCATATAATTTTCATCACTATTTAGCCTGTACTCCCAATGCCATGGAATTTGTTTCGACAGATGATTGAAACTAATTATTCTTTGCCGTTGGCAATTTATATTTACAGAGAGAACCCTGTGGTGTTGGATCCTACCAACCCTTACATCAATGTAGCTCCACGACGGAAACATCACTCCCTTGTGATGACGTGTGCACAGAACGTGCTGTACAGAATGCAGGCGTGGGAGAACTACAGAACTGGGCGTTACCCAGACAGTTAGAGCTCACCCTGACTGACAAGCACAGATGAATCTATGGCTTATTCTATTAATTGGTTGCACATAGCGACCGATGAAACCCGCTGGCAGATTATTTGTCATTGATGACGATAACTTTAGTGACACTGACGTGAAAGATGATGTACAAATGTGTACGAAAAAATAAGTTTGTTATACAAGGAAAACACTTCTATATTGTTTGTTTGTTTGTTATTTAACGCCGTCCTCAGCAATATTCCATGTTTATGACGGCGGTCTGTCAACAATCGAGACGGGGCCATACAATCCAGTGATTGACATCAAGAACACCGACCTACGCAATTGGGATACGATGACATGCAGCTAACAAGTTAGCAAGCCTGTCCACCCGATCCCGTTAGTCGCCTCTTACAACAAGCATGGGTTGCTGGAGACCGGGATCTTCACGGGGATTACACTTCTGTACAGGTATCCTGATGAGCATGCTGTAACATATAATTTTAAGCGACAGACCATTTTATATTTGGGGGTGGGAATGCGGGGGTGGGAATGCGGGGGTGGGTGGGGGGGTGGGGGGGTGGGGGGGGGGGGGGGGTGGGTGGGTGGGTGGGTGTGTGTGTGTGTTGGGGGTGAAACTGAAAGTGTTTTTCTGCAATCTCTGCACTTTAGACGTACAAAATTTCGTTTTTCACTTTTTGCTTTATTGCACGCCCTACGTATCACATGATTGTCTGGTCAAGACTCGATTGTTTACAGCCGCCATCGTTTGCCATGAGTACTGATGTGTCAGGATACAAACATGTTTATGCAAATTGCGTTAGTGGCGGACGGAACCGGTAGGGCGGGAAATTTTCACCCCTTTCGCGTCACTAGAGCGCTAGACCACACCCCTCTCTCGGGGATCGAACCACCGACCTTCCGGGCCCCTGATATGACACTCAAAAAGACTAAGTACAAGGCTTCAATAAACAAACAGGGTTGCATGTTCGTACAAATCTTCCAACGAGTGTCGAGCATTTTTGTACAATATTAGGGGCGGTGGGGTAATCTAGGGGTTGAAACATTCGCTCGTCAGATCAAAACTCGGGGTTCTGTTCCTCGCCCGGATCAATAACTAGTGATGTCCATTGTTGTGTCAGTGTGTTGCCATTATGTTTGTTTGTTTGTTTGTTGTTTAACGCCGCACTCAGCAATATTCCAGCTATATGAAGGCGGTCTGTAAAATAATCGAGTCTGGACCAGACAATCCAGTGATTGACATCATGAGCATCGATCCACGCAATGGGGATCGATGACATGTATCAACCAAGTCAGCGAGCCTGACCACCCGATCCCGTTAGTATGGGTTGCTGAAGACCAATTCCATCCCGGAATCTTCACGGGTCTGTTGCCATTATGATGATAGACATCAATAAAAGATAACAACAAGGTAAGTTAATTTACAGTTTACCTATTTCATGACTGCGTGTCTACATAAAACGTAAACACATTTAGTTCCTGTAACTATACATAATGTACCCCTATTGCATTGATCGATGTTCGTGATGTCAATCACTGGATTACATAACAGTTTACACAGACTCGATTATTTACAGACCACCATCATACAGCTGGAATAACGCTGAGCGTAGCGTTAAACTAGAAAATAAACAATATGTACATGCATCTTTTGTGAGTTTTCATGACGTGTCGCTATAACTACAAAATAATAAATAATGAACATATTTGTCTATTATCATTACTTTATCTCACAGATGTTTACACGCAGACTTATTCAGATATACTGTAAATCTAGAAATTAATGCGTCTCCAAATCAATACGACGGATGACCCCCAGCCAAAAATTAAAATCAATACAACTCCCCCCACCCTATCCCCAGTGGAATGATACATAATTATTATCCTTACCTAAATCCAACCTATCCTTAATCCAAACAAACAGCAAATAGCACTGCTTACTCGCGGTGAGTAGAGCTCTTCCGTAAAAACAATGAACAGTGTTTTCCTAAAAACAACACACAGTTTATATATTTATTCTGTTGACTGGCACAAAGGAAGTTCAAAGGCAATAAAATATATGAACCAAAAACGGTTCACTGATTGGAGTGGTCAATGATGCCTAGTTTGACCAAGTGGGTAGAACTCTTGACCCCATCAGTGTCTATTGTATAATTCTTATTCGTTAAATGATATTGCTATGTACTTGTTACAACTGCTGCTCAATAAACCTTGTTTGTGTTTATATTCAAGTTGGTATTTCCGCTATCCAAAGTGTGCAGTGAGACCGTCTTGTTGGCGATAGTCATTTTGGAGATATAAATGCGCAGTTTCATTTATGCGAACGGATCCTCAGATCCTATCTCCAAACACAGGTTTCGAAGTCAACATCGCACAACCAACCAAAAACACCCAATCTTACCGACTCCCAAACAACCAATCCATATTCACGGCCGAACTTATGGGCATGGCCTCAGCACTACACAATCAGCAATCTAAAAAAACACCAAAAAATCCTCATCCTAACCGACTCCCTCAGTGGACTACAAGCCCTCAAAAATAAAAACACTAAAAACCGCCCCAAACTAATAAATCAAATACTCAACATCTCAAACAACTTAACTAAGGCAGGTAAACAAATAGAGTTCATTTGGATCCCCGCCCACGTAGGAATCTTTAGAAATGAAAATGCAGATAAAGCAGCAAAATTATCCCTTAAACTCCCAGAAATATGCTTAAACTTACCCAGCTCAAAAACAGAAATCAAAAGTGTCGTTAAAAATAAATGAACAAAAAAACGGCAAAATATATACCAAAACTCAAATAGCCAAATCAGGAAAGTACTAAAAGAAACCCTAACTAAACCAAAAATACTACACCCATCCAAAAACATCGACAGAATAATAACTAAACTACAAACAGGCCACACCAAACTAAATAATCACCGTAAAATAGCTAATCTACACACAACAGGAAACTGCCCACATTGCAAACAACAAGAAACATCAGAACACGTACTCATTCACTGCACACACTACCAAACACACCGAACACTACAGACCACCCTAAATCTTAAAACCGCACTTACACTAGAATCAATCCAAATCAATACGACGGATGACCCCCAGCCAAAAATTAAAATCAATACAACTCCCCCCACCCTATCCCCAGTGGAATGATACATAATTATTATCCTTACCTAAATCCAACCTATCCTTAATCCAAACAAACAGCAAATAGCACTGCTTACTCGCGGTGAGTAGAGCTCTTCCGTAAAAACAATGAACAGTGTTTTCCTAAAAACAACACACAGTTTATATATTTATTCTGTTGACTGGCACAAAGGAAGTTCAAAGGCAATAAAATATATGAACCAAAAACGGTTCACTGATTGGAGTGGTCAATGATGCCTAGTTTGACCAAGTGGGTAGAACTCTTGACCCCATCAGTGTCTATTGTATAATTCTTATTCGTTAAATGATATTGCTATGTACTTGTTACAACTGCTGCTCAATAAACCTTGTTTGTGTTTATATTCAAGTTGGTATTTCCGCTATCCAAAGTGTGCAGTGAGACCGTCTTGTTGGCGATAGTCATTTTGGAGATATAAATGCGCAGTTTCATTTATGCGAACGGATCCTCAGATCCTATCTCCAAACACAGGTTTCGAAGTCAACATCGCACAACCAACCAAAAACACCCAATCTTACCGACTCCCAAACAACCAATCCATATTCACGGCCGAACTTATGGGCATGGCCTCAGCACTACACAATCAGCAATCTAAAAAAACACCAAAAAATCCTCATCCTAACCGACTCCCTCAGTGGACTACAAGCCCTCAAAAATAAAAACACTAAAAACCGCCCCAAACTAATAAATCAAATACTCAACATCTCAAACAACTTAACTAAGGCAGGTAAACAAATAGAGTTCATTTGGATCCCCGCCCACGTAGGAATCTTTAGAAATGAAAATGCAGATAAAGCAGCAAAATTATCCCTTAAACTCCCAGAAATATGCTTAAACTTACCCAGCTCAAAAACAGAAATCAAAAGTGTCGTTAAAAATAAATGAACAAAAAAACGGCAAAATATATACCAAAACTCAAATAGCCAAATCAGGAAAGTACTAAAAGAAACCCTAACTAAACCAAAAATACTACACCCATCCAAAAACATCGACAGAATAATAACTAAACTACAAACAGGCCACACCAAACTAAATAATCACCGTAAAATAGCTAATCTACACACAACAGGAAACTGCCCACATTGCAAACAACAAGAAACATCAGAACACGTACTCATTCACTGCACACACTACCAAACACACCGAACACTACAGACCACCCTAAATCTTAAAACCGCACTTACACTAGAATCAATCCAAATCAATACGACGGATGACCCCCAGCCAAAAATTAAAATCAATACAACTCCCCCCACCCTATCCCCAGTGGAATGATACATAATTATTATCCTTACCTAAATCCAACCTATCCTTAATCCAAACAAACAGCAAATAGCACTGCTTACTCGCGGTGAGTAGAGCTCTTCCGTAAAAACAATGAACAGTGTTTTCCTAAAAACAACACACAGTTTATATATTTATTCTGTTGACTGGCACAAAGGAAGTTCAAAGGCAATAAAATATATGAACCAAAAACGGTTCACTGATTGGAGTGGTCAATGATGCCTAGTTTGACCAAGTGGGTAGAACTCTTGACCCCATCAGTGTCTATTGTATAATTCTTATTCGTTAAATGATATTGCTATGTACTTGTTACAACTGCTGCTCAATAAACCTTGTTTGTGTTTATATTCAAGTTGGTATTTCCGCTATCCAAAGTGTGCAGTGAGACCGTCTTGTTGGCGATAGTCATTTTGGAGATATAAATGCGCAGTTTCATTTATGCGAACGGATCCTCAGATCCTATCTCCAAACACAGGTTTCGAAGTCAACATCGCACAACCAACCAAAAACACCCAATCTTACCGACTCCCAAACAACCAATCCATATTCACGGCCGAACTTATGGGCATGGCCTCAGCACTACACAATCAGCAATCTAAAAAAACACCAAAAAATCCTCATCCTAACCGACTCCCTCAGTGGACTACAAGCCCTCAAAAATAAAAATACTAAAAACCGCCCCAAACTAATAAATCAAATACTCAACATCTCAAACAACTTAACTAAGGCAGGTAAACAAATAGAGTTCATTTGGATCCCCGCCCACGTAGGAATCTTTAGAAATGAAAATGCAGATAAAGCAGCAAAATTATCCCTTAAACTCCCAGAAATATGCTTAAACTTACCCAGCTCAAAAACAGAAATCAAAAGTGTCGTTAAAAATAAATGAACAAAAAAAACGGCAAAATATATACCAAAACTCAAATAGCCAAATCAGGAAAGTACTAAAAGAAACCCTAACTAAACCAAAAATACTACACCCATCCAAAAACATCGACAGAATAATAACTAAACTACAAACAGGCCACACCAAACTAAATAATCACCGTAAAATAGCTAATCTACACACAACAGGAAACTGCCCACATTGCAAACAACAAGAAACATCAGAACACGTACTCATTCACTGCACACACTACCAAACACACCGAACACTACAGACCACCCTAAATCTTAAAACCGCACTTACACTAGAATCAATCCAAATCAATACGACGGATGACCCCCAGCCAAAAATTAAAATCAATACAACTCCCCCCACCCTATCCCCAGTGGAATGATACATAATTATTATCCTTACCTAAATCCAACCTATCCTTAATCCAAACAAACAGCAAATAGCACTGCTTACTCGCGGTGAGTAGAGCTCTTCCGTAAAAACAATGAACAGTGTTTTCCTAAAAACAACACACAGTTTATATATTTATTCTGTTGACTGGCACAAAGGAAGTTCAAAGGCAATAAAATATATGAACCAAAAACGGTTCACTGATTGGAGTGGTCAATGATGCCTAGTTTGACCAAGTGGGTAGAACTCTTGACCCCATCAGTGTCTATTGTATAATTCTTATTCGTTAAATGATATTGCTATGTACTTGTTACAACTGCTGCTCAATAAACCTTGTTTGTGTTTATATTCAAGTTGGTATTTCCGCTATCCAAAGTGTGCAGTGAGACCGTCTTGTTGGCGATAGTCATTTTGGAGATATAAATGCGCAGTTTCATTTATGCGAACGGATCCTCAGATCCTATCTCCAAACACAGGTTTCGAAGTCAACATCGCACAACCAACCAAAAACACCCAATCTTACCGACTCCCAAACAACCAATCCATATTCACGGCCGAACTTATGGGCATGGCCTCAGCACTACACAATCAGCAATCTAAAAAAACACCAAAAAATCCTCATCCTAACCGACTCCCTCAGTGGACTACAAGCCCTCAAAAATAAAAACACTAAAAACCGCCCCAAACTAATAAATCAAATACTCAACATCTCAAACAACTTAACTAAGGCAGGTAAACAAATAGAGTTCATTTGGATCCCCGCCCACGTAGGAATCTTTAGAAATGAAAATGCAGATAAAGCAGCAAAATTATCCCTTAAACTCCCAGAAATATGCTTAAACTTACCCAGCTCAAAAACAGAAATCAAAAGTGTCGTTAAAAATAAATGAACAAAAAAACGGCAAAATATATACCAAAACTCAAATAGCCAAATCAGGAAAGTACTAAAAGAAACCCTAACTAAACCAAAAATACTACACCCATCCAAAAACATCGACAGAATAATAACTAAACTACAAACAGGCCACACCAAACTAAATAATCACCGTAAAATAGCTAATCTACACACAACAGGAAACTGCCCACATTGCAAACAACAAGAAACATCAGAACACGTACTCATTCACTGCACACACTACCAAACACACCGAACACTACAGACCACCCTAAATCTTAAAACCGCACTTACACTAGAATCAATCCAAATCAATACGACGGATGACCCCCAGCCAAAAATTAAAATCAATACAACTCCCCCCACCCTATCCCCAGTGGAATGATACATAATTATTATCCTTACCTAAATCCAACCTATCCTTAATCCAAACAAACAGCAAATAGCACTGCTTACTCGCGGTGAGTAGAGCTCTTCCGTAAAAACAATGAACAGTGTTTTCCTAAAAACAACACACAGTTTATATATTTATTCTGTTGACTGGCACAAAGGAAGTTCAAAGGCAATAAAATATATGAACCAAAAACGGTTCACTGATTGGAGTGGTCAATGATGCCTAGTTTGACCAAGTGGGTAGAACTCTTGACCCCATCAGTGTCTATTGTATAATTCTTATTCGTTAAATGATATTGCTATGTACTTGTTACAACTGCTGCTCAATAAACCTTGTTTGTGTTTATATTCAAGTTGGTATTTCCGCTATCCAAAGTGTGCAGTGAGACCGTCTTGTTGGCGATAGTCATTTTGGAGATATAAATGCGCAGTTTCATTTATGCGAACGGATCCTCAGATCCTATCTCCAAACACAGGTTTCGAAGTCAACATCGCACAACCAACCAAAAACACCCAATCTTACCGACTCCCAAACAACCAATCCATATTCACGGCCGAACTTATGGGCATGGCCTCAGCACTACACAATCAGCAATCTAAAAAAACACCAAAAAATCCTCATCCTAACCGACTCCCTCAGTGGACTACAAGCCCTCAAAAATAAAAACACTAAAAACCGCCCCAAACTAATAAATCAAATACTCAACATCTCAAACAACTTAACTAAGGCAGGTAAACAAATAGAGTTCATTTGGATCCCCGCCCACGTAGGAATCTTTAGAAATGAAAATGCAGATAAAGCAGCAAAATTATCCCTTAAACTCCCAGAAATATGCTTAAACTTACCCAGCTCAAAAACAGAAATCAAAAGTGTCGTTAAAAATAAATGAACAAAAAAACGGCAAAATATATACCAAAACTCAAATAGCCAAATCAGGAAAGTACTAAAAGAAACCCTAACTAAACCAAAAATACTACACCCATCCAAAAACATCGACAGAATAATAACTAAACTACAAACAGGCCACACCAAACTAAATAATCACCGTAAAATAGCTAATCTACACACAACAGGAAACTGCCCACATTGCAAACAACAAGAAACATCAGAACACGTACTCATTCACTGCACACACTACCAAACACACCGAACACTACAGACCACCCTAAATCTTAAAACCGCACTTACACTAGAATCAATCCAAATCAATACGACGGATGACCCCCAGCCAAAAATTAAAATCAATACAACTCCCCCCACCCTATCCCCAGTGGAATGATACATAATTATTATCCTTACCTAAATCCAACCTATCCTTAATCCAAACAAACAGCAAATAGCACTGCTTACTCGCGGTGAGTAGAGCTCTTCCGTAAAAACAATGAACAGTGTTTTCCTAAAAACAACACACAGTTTATATATTTATTCTGTTGACTGGCACAAAGGAAGTTCAAAGGCAATAAAATATATGAACCAAAAACGGTTCACTGATTGGAGTGGTCAATGATGCCTAGTTTGACCAAGTGGGTAGAACTCTTGACCCCATCAGTGTCTATTGTATAATTCTTATTCGTTAAATGATATTGCTATGTACTTGTTACAACTGCTGCTCAATAAACCTTGTTTGTGTTTATATTCAAGTTGGTATTTCCGCTATCCAAAGTGTGCAGTGAGACCGTCTTGTTGGCGATAGTCATTTTGGAGATATAAATGCGCAGTTTCATTTATGCGAACGGATCCTCAGATCCTATCTCCAAACACAGGTTTCGAAGTCAACATCGCACAACCAACCAAAAACACCCAATCTTACCGACTCCCAAACAACCAATCCATATTCACGGCCGAACTTATGGGCATGGCCTCAGCACTACACAATCAGCAATCTAAAAAAACACCAAAAAATCCTCATCCTAACCGACTCCCTCAGTGGACTACAAGCCCTCAAAAATAAAAACACTAAAAACCGCCCCAAACTAATAAATCAAATACTCAACATCTCAAACAACTTAACTAAGGCAGGTAAACAAATAGAGTTCATTTGGATCCCCGCCCACGTAGGAATCTTTAGAAATGAAAATGCAGATAAAGCAGCAAAATTATCCCTTAAACTCCCAGAAATATGCTTAAACTTACCCAGCTCAAAAACAGAAATCAAAAGTGTCGTTAAAAATAAATGAACAAAAAAACGGCAAAATATATACCAAAACTCAAATAGCCAAATCAGGAAAGTACTAAAAGAAACCCTAACTAAACCAAAAATACTACACCCATCCAAAAACATCGACAGAATAATAACTAAACTACAAACAGGCCACACCAAACTAAATAATCACCGTAAAATAGCTAATCTACACACAACAGGAAACTGCCCACATTGCAAACAACAAGAAACATCAGAACACGTACTCATTCACTGCACACACTACCAAACACACCGAACACTACAGACCACCCTAAATCTTAAAACCGCACTTACACTAGAATCAATCCTAAATCTACAAAATAAATCAGAAAAATCCAAAGCCTTAGGCATATACCTAATTAAAACAGGACTAATTAGTCGCATTTAAACCCCCAATAAAATATTAAAACCAAAACTACCTAATCAAACAACCACCCAACACACACAGCTCCCTTAGTTCGTCCTCCACCACTCTTGGCATTCATTCGTAAAAATCTCAAAATTTCAAACTTACCAAAAGTATATAAGCAACCCCTAAAGCCCCTATCCTGGGTTGCACAAACTCACTTTTCCCCTTTTCGGAAACACATTAAATGGCCTGGCCGGGCACGTGTGTGACATACGCTTGCAGTCGGAAAGCGCACGTTAAATCTACAATATAAGTAAGTAAGTAAGTAAGTAAGTAAGTATGCGAACAAAGACCACTCGCATTTTTCGCATTTAATTCAAGCTCGCGTTAATTTCAACTATTAGAGCAACAAGTTGGGTAGTACGATCCAAGGATCCCTATACTATTGACGTGGATTGTGGATCTGGTAAATAAACAAACCCTCATTGTTTAATATCAAATACAGAATATTCAGTATCAATGAATATTAATGTCTTGGAAGAGTGTTCATCCAGGACCTTATTTAGGGGGGATACTGCCTTTGAAATTAACGTACTGAGCTACAGAACATGGCCGTGGACAAGTGTTGAACTTTATAGTGGAGCCGGAATTCCGTTCACCTGATTGACTCTGGGGGCACCATAACGTAAGCTTAGGCAGATCATCGGAAACAGTGTCCTCAAGTTCTGACGCAAAGACATTTGGCATGGTTAAGCTTCTGCTCCTCCTCGAGTTCCCTGGGGGTGGTCGACATCCCGGGGGTCCGCTCGACTGTCCCGCCATACGGACGTATAGGTCACAGTCTGGAACGACCTTAGCTGCAGCATCATGCTTCGTCTCCAGCTCCTCGTGTGCATCGTGTAGAGACTGGGCTGACTTCCACCATCCCGATTTGAACAGGTCATCGGAGGATCTCTCGAATTTGAGGTCTGTGGAATTAGGAGGAAATCCTCGTCGCTGGCCGACCTTAAGATTCGTATCGAAATTCATGTATACGCTCTTTGTCACATCTTGACGAGAAGACTCGTTAAATGCCTTGAAAAGTTCTAGGTGAGTATTATCATCCTCTTCTGTTTCATCTTCAACAACCTCTATTGCACTGGTCTGGTAAGTTATGGATCGACGCTCTTCCTCCTGTTTTGAGGTGTCCATGAATGGTCGGGATGCTGTGGGTGTGTAGCTTGTATACTGAAGGGTACAAATGCGTGGTTTTGTCAGCACCCCTTCACTAAAAGTCTTACTTTTTCTAAGTCCCCGGAGAGGCTTCCCCATGGGTACATATGTTGCACAGACGTCTTCATCCGAGTCGTCACTGAGATTTCCTGTATCCCCAGTCTTTCCGCTATGCCTCACAATGACCTCGCCTTCTTTCAGATCAGGATCAGGCAGGGCAGACTCAAGGGTAAAAGGCTTTTCACATGCAGCCTCAACAGACTCTGTCTGAACCTGCTCCACTTGATTAGGTTCTACCGGACTACAAACATACGCCAGGGGAGGCGCCTCGATTGTAAGGGGGGCAGATTCGATCGCCTGCAGTGTGTTTGGGGGAGGTTTCGGTTCAACTGCCCTAGGACCAGATATCGACAAGCGTTTTCCAGACTTGGAGATGTGATTGGTTACGATGTCAGCAGGATCCACATTAACATAGTCGTCCCGCTTTTCTGTTCTTTTTGGACGTTTGCGTCTCTTAAACACCCTTCGCAGTCTGAAATAACGAGAGAAACGCAATGTTATCACTGGTATGTTCATGTACATGTTGCCGTGGTGAATGGGAGGATTGGAACATTTTACCATAAACAGGGGGGCATGAACAGGAATGTAAATTCATGTGTGCGACTAGAGGAGCGTTAATGGAAAAGGACATGGACAGGAATGTATGTTCAGGTGTGCGACTAGAGGAGCGTTAATGGAAAAGGACATGGACAGGAATGTAAGTTCAGGTGTGCGACTAGAGGAGCGTTAATGGAAAGGGACATGGACAGGAATGTAAGTTCAGGTGGGCGCCTAAAGGAACGTTTAGGGGCGGGGCATGAACAGGAATGTAAATTCATGTGTGCGACTAGAGGAGCGTTAATGGAAAAGGACATGGACAGGAATGTATGTTCAGGTGTGCGACTAGAGGAGCGTTAATGGAAAAGGACATGGACAGGAATGTAAGTTCAGGTGTGCGACTAGAGGAGCGTTAATGGAAAGGGACATGGACAGGAATGTAAGTTCAGGTGGGCGCCTAAAGGAACGTTTAGGGGCGGGGCATGAACAGGAATGTAAATTCATGTGTGCGACTAGAGGAGCGTTAATGGAAAAGGACATGGACAGGAATGTAAGTTCAGGTGGGCGCCTAAAGGAACGTTTAGGGGCGGGGCATGAACAGGAATGTAAATTCATGTGTGCGACTAGAGGAACGTTAATGGAAAAGGACATGAACAGGAATGTAAATTCAGGTGTGCGACTAGAGGGTCGTTAATGGAAAGGGACATGGACAGGAATGTAAATTCAGGTGTGCGACTAGAGGAGCGTTAATGGAAAAGGACATCGACAGGAAAGTAAGTTCAAATGAGTGACTAAAGGATCGTTAATGGAGAAGGGCATGGACAGGAGCGTAAATTCACGTCAGTGGCTAAAGGTTAGTTAATGGAAGGGGCCATTAACAGGAATGCAAATTCAGATTAGTGACCAGAGGATCGTTAATGGAAGGGGACCACAAACAGGAACGGAAATTCATCTGTGACTAAACGATTGTAAATGGAGGGGTGTTTGTGTGTGAACAGGAATGCAAGTTCAGATGAGTGCAAGAATGACAATGTACAGGATTGTTACAGTTACTGACCTTTTAAAGAAACTGGGGCGCGGGGGGCGTGGTTCGGGGGTCCCATTGCCATCTCGCTCTTTATTGCTGGAAACAGATATGGACTTTATTAAGGTATGTGATGCTTACGTACGCCCGATTAAAAAATTGCACTGTAATAAGTAATAAATATATAATAATAAATAATACAGAGGAAGGGCGCACTTTGCAGAGTTGCGTCCCCACGCTGTGCCAGGATCGGCTGAGTGTGGGTTATGTACGTGAGTACATGTATAGCCTTTAAAACATATATCGTAACATATTATTTGAAATTGATATAACGATATGCATGTTGAATATGATGTATAGTTTATTTTAGTTCATGTCAGGTATGATTGTAGTATAAGTCCTTCAGCTTAAATGTCGTTTCAAACTATGTCCATTAGTACCCACCCGCCTCCGTGGTCTAGAGGTAGAGCGTCCGCTCGGAGAGCGGAAGATTCGAGGTTCGATCCCCGGTCGCGTCATATCAAAAGACGTTAAAAGATGGTACTTGTTGTTACCCTGTCTGGCGCTCGGCATTAAGGGGCTAAAACAAGGACTGGTCGGCTCGGAGTCTGTATATTGTGTCTGAGTGGGGTATTCATGTTAAACTTCGGCATGGTATCTCAGTGAGCTAGCACTATAAATCGGCATCAGCCCGGACTAGTACAAGCAGCCACACACACACAAGTGCATGCTATATAAGTGCAATAATCTTGGACGCGACGTTAAACCCCATTTCACCTCACCTCACCATTAGTACCCAGGTTACAATAGGATCCCAGTACTCCACGCCTTGTAAGAGGCGTATAAACTGGATAGGATGGTCAGGTTCTGTCACTATCTTGATTGCGCTGCATCGTAACCGACGTCATGGGACGTTAGTCACGTCATGAACTATTGGTGCACAAACGGGTAGTTACATGCAAGTATCAACGTTTGGAATACTAATTAAAAAGAATAGATAGACCTACCCCGACGTAGATGAAATGCCACTGATGTATTCGTGCATGTCCATCACTATGTTTTGTAGATACATTTAAAATCCCGTTGTGTAAGTTTTAAAATTTGGAGGTGTTTCAAGAGCATAACTCCTAACCGTTCAATGTCGTCATTTTCTTCAGGCAACTGTTGAACTGGTGTTGTTTGCTATTCATGAAGTTTGATCTTTTATAGATTTTGTGAGACAAAGGCAAGTCTATTTTAAACATTGGTTCAAATGAGAGTTTCATTTTGCAGAGCATAAATCACAAACCATTCAAAGTTTCTAGATGAAACTTTGTAAGCACTTGAGATATCCTACACAGGGGATTCTGGGGTTAAGATATGTCCTCAGCAACCCATTGACAGGGGTCTCATGGATGCAGTGGTCAGGCTTGGTGACTTGGTTGATTGTACCTTTACCGTGAGATATTGCTCATAATTCAGTGTTTATTAAACAAGGAACACAATCAATTCAAGATCTTTTTAAAAGTCTTGCTGTTAGTTTTAGAAATAGTATGTGTAACATTGATTTCAAATAAAATGCTCTGCCTGAAATGTTTCATTACTATTACACGTCACGTGAAGGTATTAGCAGAAATCATTTAATGCATAGAGAGAACAATTTGGTTTGGTCATCAATCAACATGTCAGTTGTACTCAGAGGCTTAAGGGTTACCAACGTTGGTATAAGGGTGAGTCAGTGAGTGAGTATGTTTTTACGCCGCTTTTAGCAACATTCCAGCAATATCACAGCGGGGGATACCAGAAATGGGCTTCACACATTGCACCCATGTCGGGAATCGAACCGGGGTCTTCGGCGTGACGAGCGAACGCTTCATCCACTAAGCTACCCGACCGCCCCGTTGGAAAAAGGAGTAATAAGACTTTGTGGTGAACGTCTAATACTTAGTAGGATTTTATGCACATTTTTAAAAGGGGCGGGATATCGATAACGTTGTCTTCTTACATCCATTGAGGCAAACAGGATTTATTATTCACTAAGGACAGCCTTTGGGTCTAGTGGTAGAGCGTCCGCCCGGAGAGCGGAAGGTCCGGGTTCGGTCCCCGGCCGCGTCATATCAAAAGACGTTAAAAGATGGTACTTGTTGTTACCCTGTCTGGCGCTCGGCATTAAGGGGCTAAAACAAGGACTGGTCGGCTCGGAGTCTGTATATTGTGTCTGAGTGGGGTATTCATGTTAAACTTCGGCATGGTATCTCAGTGTGCTAGCACTATAAATCGGCATCAGCCCGGACTAGTACAAGCAGCCACACACACGCGTACATGCACGTCGCTATATAAGTGTAATAAACTTGCACGCGACGTTAAACCCAATTTTACCTCACCTATTATTCACTAAGTATAACATAAATTATACCGCAAATACATTTCTACTTCAAAGCTGAAGCATATCGTAATAGCCATTTCTCGGGGAAAAATTGATTTTCAAACATTTCCTGAAAAGTTTATATTTCCTGTTTACGTCTAATTGTGGCTTTACGACTGGTTTCAAGGACCTTGATACAAAAACTAAAACTGAATGAATTTTTCAACACTCACTTCATGCGGAAGAAATTATTCACAGATAGTGACGGGCCAGTGTATGTAGACTAAACATTTATGAATAGGTTAGAGTGAGTGAGTATGGTTTTACGCCTCTTTTTCTCAATATTCTAGAAATACATGGAACACGATTTGGGAATCGAACCCATGCATTCGGCGTGACGATCAAACTCTTTAACAGCTAGGCTACCCCACCGCACCGTATGACTTAGGGCCGGTGGACCCGGATTCTGAGTGCGGCAATAAACAATAAACAAAGTTCTGACCTGTATAAACCAGAGCAACCATTCAAAGGGCCATAACAACGAAAATATTCTAACAACATTGTTTTGATAACAATGTTTTAAAAAATATTCATGAAGGGTGTGAGTCGTTATAAATAGAATTATTTATCTAAAAAATGCATATTGAGAAATGATCAGGAAGATTAGATACTTTCAAAAAAATAAAAAAATGTTATTTCAATATGTTTGCCATAAGGTCTACTGTCTATAGTTTGCGTATAGTGGACGTAAGTGTATAATGTTTGCATGGTGGAAATCTCTCACAAAATCTTTACATGCGACCCCCCCCCCCCCCCCACCCACACACACACACACACACACACATACACACACACACATCTCGCTGGTATACCCGACCCTACTGACCACGACAGTACTGATTAACCAACTCTCCGTCACCCTGCCCCCTCCCCCCGCACACGCAAAGACACCCCTCTCGTCGCTGGTATACACGACCCTACTGACCACGTCAGTACTGATTAACCAACTCTCCGTCACCCTGCCCCCTCCCCCCCCCACACGCAAAGACACCCCTCTCGTCGCTGGTATACACGACCCTACTGACCACGACAGTACTGATTAACCAACTCTCCGTCACCCTTCCCCCTCCCCCGCACACGCAAAGACACCCCTCTCGTCGCTGGTATACACGACCCTACTGACCATGACAGTACTGATTAACCAACTCTCCGTCACCCTGCCCCCTCCCCCCGCACACGCAAAGACACCCCTCTCGTCGCTGGTATACACGACCCTACTGACCACGACAGTACTGATAAACCAACTCTCCGTCACCCTGCCCCCTCCCCCCGCACACGCAAAGACACCCCTCTCGTCGCTGGTATACACGACCCTACTGACCACGACAGTACTGATTAACCAACTCTCCGTCACCCTGCCCCCTCCCCCCGCACATGCACAGACACCCATCTCGTCGCTGGTATACACGACCCTACTGACCACGACAGTACTGATTAACCAACTCTCCGTCACCCTGCCCCCTCCCCCCGCACACGCAAAGACACCCCTCTCGTCGCTGGTATACACGACCCTACTGACCACGTCAGTACTGATTAACCAACTCTCCGTCACCCTGCCCCCTCCCCCCGCACACGCAAAGACACCCCTCTCGTCGCTGGTATACACGACCCTACTGACCACGTCAGTACTGATTAACCAACTCTCCGTCACCCTTCCCCCTCCACCCCCACACGCAAAGACACCCCTCTCGTCGCTGGTATACACGACCCTACTGACCACGACAGTACTGATTAACCAACTCTCCGTCACCCTGCCCCCTCCCCCCCCACACGCACAGACACCCCTCTCGTCGCTGGTATACACGACCCTACTGACCACGTCAGTACTGATTAACCAACTCTCCGTCACCCTTCCCCCTCCCCCCCCCCACACGCAAAGACACCCCTCTCGTCGCTGGTATACACGACCCTACTGACCACGACAGTACTGATTAACCAACTCTCCGTCACCCTGCCCCCTCCCCCCCCACACGCACAGACACCCCTCTCGTCGCTGGTATACACGACCCTACTGACCACGTCAGTACTGATTAACCAACTCTCCGTCACCCTTCCCCCTCCCCCCCCACACGCAAAGACACCCCTCTCGTCGCTGGTATACACGACCCTACTGACCACGACAGTACTGATTAACCAACTCTCCGTCACCCTGCCCCCTCCACCCCCACACGCACAGACACCCCTCTCGTCGCTGGTATACACGACCCTACTGACCACGTCAGTACTGATTAACCAACTCTCCGTCACCCTGCCCCCTCCCCCCCCACACGCAAAGACACCCCTCTCGTCGCTGGTATACACGACCCTACTGACCACGACAGTACTGATTAACCAACTCTCCGTCACCCTTCCCCCTCCCCCGCACACGCAAAGACACCCCTCTCGTCGCTGGTATACACGACCCTACTGACCATGACAGTACTGATTAACCAACTCTCCGTCACCCTGCCCCCTCCCCCCGCACACGCAAAGACACCCCTCTCGTCGCTGGTATACACGACCCTACTGACCACGACAGTACTGATTAACCAACTCTCCGTCACCCTGCCCCCTCCCCCCGCACACGCAAAGACACCCCTCTCGTCGCTGGTATACACGACCCTACTGACCACGACAGTACTGATTAACCAACTCTCCGTCACCCTGCCCCCTCCCCCCGCACATGCACAGACACCCATCTCGTCGCTGGTATACCCGACCCTACTGACCACGACAGTACTGATTAACCAACTCTCCGTCACCCTGCCCCCTCCCCCCGCACACGCAAAGACACCCCTCTCGTCGCTGGTATACACGACCCTACTGACCACGTCAGTACTGATTAACCAACTCTCCGTCACCCTGCCCCCTCCCCCCGCACACGCAAAGACACCCCTCTCGTCGCTGGTATACACGACCCTACTGACCACGTCAGTACTGATTAACCAACTCTCCGTCACCCTTCCCCCTCCCCCCCACACGCAAAGACACCCCTCTCGTCGCTGGTATACACGACCCTACTGACCATGACAGTACTGATTAACCAACTCTCCGTCACCCTGCCCCCTCCCCCCGCACACGCAAAGACACCCCTCTCGTCGCTGGTATACACGACCCTACTGACCACGACAGTACTGATTAACCAACTCTCCGTCACCCTGCCCCCTCCCCCCGCACATGCACAGACACCCATCTCGTCGCTGGTATACCCGACCCTACTGACCACGACAGTACTGATTAACCAACTCTCCGTCACCCTGCCCCCTCCCCCCGCACACGCAAAGACACCCCTCTCGTCGCTGGTATACACGACCCTACTGACCACGTCAGTACTGATTAACCAACTCTCCGTCACCCTGCCCCCTCCCCCCGCACACGCAAAGACACCCCTCTCGTCGCTGGTATACACGACCCTACTGACCACGTCAGTACTGATTAACCAACTCTCCGTCACCCTGCCCCCTCCCCCCCACACGCAAAGACACCCCTCTCGTCGCTGGTATACACGACCCTACTGACCACGACAGTACTGATTAACCAACTCTCCGTCACCCTGCCCCCTCCCCCCGCACACGCACAGACACCCCTCTCGTCGCTGGTATACACGTCCCTACTGACCACGACAGTACTGATTAACCAACTCTCCGTCACCCTTCCCCCTCCCCCGCACACGCAAAGACACCCCTCTCGTCGCTGGTATACACGACCCTACTGACCACGACAGTACTGATAAACCAACTCTCCGTCACCCTTCCCCCTCCCCCGCACACGCAAAGACACCCCTCTCGTCGCTGGTATACACGACCCTACTGACCACGACAGTACTGATTAACCAACCCTCCGTCACCCTGCCCCCTCCCCCCGCACATGCACAGACACCCTCTCGTCGCTGGTATACACGACCCTACTGACCACGTCAGTACTGATTCACCAACCCTCCGTCACCCTGCCCCCTCCCCCCGCACACGCACAGACACCCCTCTCGTCGCTGGTATACACGACCCTACTGACCACGACAGTACTGATTAACCAACTCTCCGTCACCCCGCCCCCTTCCCCCGCACACGCACAGACACCCCTCTCGTCGCTGGTATACACGACCCTACTGACCATGACACTACTGATTCACCAACCCTCCGTCACCCTGCCCCCTCCCCCCGCACATGCAAAGACACCCCTCTCGTCGCTGGTATACACGACCCTACTGACCACGACAGCACTGATTAACCAACCCTCCGTCACCCTGCCCCCTCCCCCCGCACACGCACAGACACCCCTCTCGTCGCTGGTATACACGACCCTACTGACCACGACAGTACTGATTAACCAACTCTCCGTCACCCTGCCCCCTCCCCCCGCACACGCAAAGACACCCCTCTCGTCGCTGGTATACACGACCCTACTGACCACGACAGTACTGATTAACCAACTCTCCGTCACCCTGCCCCCTCCCCCCGCACACGCAAAGACACCCCTCTCGTCGCTGGTATACACGACCCTACTGACCACGACAGTACTGATTAACCAACTCTCCGTCACCCTGCCCCCTCCCCCCGCACACGCAAAGACACCCCTCTCGTCGCTGGTATACACGACCCTACTGACCACGACAGTACTGATTAACCAACTCTCCGTCACCCTGCCCCCTCCCCCCGCACACGCAAAGACACCCCTCTCGTCGCTGGTATACCCGACCCTACTGACCACGACAGTACTGATTAACTAACTCTCCGTCACCCTGCCCCCTCCCCCCGCACACGCACAGACACCCCTCTTGTCGCTGGTATACACGACTCTACTGACCACGACAGCACTGATTAACCAACCCTCCGTCACCCTGCCCCCTCCCCCCGCACACGAAAAGACACCCCTCTCGTCGCTGGTATACACGACTCTACTGACCACGACAGTACTGATTAACCAACCCTCCGTCACCCTGCCCCCTCCCCCCGCACACGCAAAGACACCCCTCTCGTCGCTGGTATACACGACCCTACTGACCACGACAGTACTGATTAACCAACTCTCCGTCACCCTGCCCCCTCCCCCCGCACACGCAAAGACACCCCTCTTGTCGCTGGTATACACGACTCTACTGACCACGACAGTACTGATTAACCAACTCTCCGTCACCCTGCCCCCTCCCCCCCCCCCCCCCCCCCCCCCGCACACGCACGGACACCCCTCTCGTCGCTGGTATACACGACCCTACTGACCACGACAGTACTGATTAACCAACTCTCCGTCACCCTGCCCCCTCCCCCCGCACACGCAAAGACACCCCTCTCGTCGCTGGTATACACGACTCTACTGACCACGATAGTACTGATTAACCAACTCTCCATCTCCCACCCACCCAGGACAATACTCATTTACCAACTCTCCATCATGCCCCCACCCCTCTGTTTTGGTAGAATTGTGACACCAACTTTCAAGTCATCGTATGATATTCAACAGTTTATTTTATAGTTAAATACTACAAGCGGGATCTGCGAATAGCGGTTTCCGTGATAAATGTAACTTTGTTGATATGTATAGTGACTTGACGCGCCATATGGACGCATGCTTCAGTAATATTTAGGTAATAACGCTTCTGAACCGGTTTTTGTATGAAAGGAGTTGTTATAGACTCTAAACGCGTATGAAAAAGGGTAAATGGCAATACTTACGCCACACGCTTATCTTTATCACTCATATGGGCTGGCTGTGGATCATGGCAGCCGACGAGGTCGTCTCCTTGTGCGGCGTTCTGTGTCACTGCACCAGCGAGAAGCAACAGGAAGAACAAACCATATAGAAACCAGAACTGTCCCCGGTTGTTTATCTAACATTACTTTGTTTAAATGAATGAACATATTTGCATCATTATCGATATATTTCAACAGTTGGTAAACAAGTGCGATTTATCAATTGAATAGAGTTAACCCGCTCTTTATTGATAATAATGAAACAGTTACTGTATATTTCGTAGAGTGGTTGGGCGTCCGGGTAGCCTTGTGGTTAAAGTGTTCGCTCGTCACGCCGAAGGCCGGATTCGATTCCCCACATGGGAACAAAGCATGAAGCCCATTTCTGGTCAGTGTTTGAAACAGAACACATTGGCAGGCTGCCGCAAAGACTCGTAATACTTTAGAAGCTGCTGGCCTCGAGTAAACTCTTCGGGACTCAATATTTATTACAATATAGATCTTGATTATCGATCAGATCGTCTTGACTGAGCGCCGCCATTTTTTTAAGCAAATGCAAGTGATGTGAGAGGTGGAATTTGATTGGTCAATAGATTGGACATAGATGGGACATAACCACGGGCCACTGGTCAAACCACGAAATCCCAGCGTAGGGTGGAAACTGGACTTTTGTAGTCATTTGACACCCTTGCCTAGGGAAGATGGGTTTGCTGAAGACCCATTCACTACCCGGATCCCTTACGAGACCATAGCCACTTGGTTGAATTGATGTCTAGAAGTTGGTGGTCTTGGATAGAACAGTTCAATTCACATAAGTAGGTGAATGAATGAGTATGGTTTTACGCCGCTTTTTGCTTTATTCCAGCAATATCACGGCGGGAGACACCAGAAAATGGGCTTCACACATTGAACCAATGCCGTGAATCGAACCCGGGTCACCTCGGCGTGACGAGCGAACGCGTTCACCACTAGGCTACCCGACCGCCCCCACATTAGTAGAGACATAGCTGTTCACGGTAACCTACTGTGACAGGTTTGGGTAATTTTTATGGTCGAGAACTAAATGCGACAGGGGGCACGGGTTTGTTAGTAAGGATTTATGAACATCTACAGGAACGGGGCGGTCGGGTAGCCCAGTGGTTAAAGCGTTCGCTCGTCACGCACGTCTCTACAGGAACCGGGGGCACGGATGGCCCAGTCGTCTAAGACGCCGCGATTCGCTGTGCAGAGTTCCGTCCCTTGGGCACGCCAGAAACCTATGATGTGGGTTCGAATCCCGGTTCGCCCCGATTATGTTTCTAGGTTTGTTAGCACCACACTCGTGCTCGTGGGTTTCATCAAAGTGGTAAACGTCTGAGACCTGCATCACTTCGGGCTTTCCTCCCACATTAAGCTGACACGCAGCGATATAACTGAATTATGTTAAAAGCGGCATTAAACCAAACTCACTCACCCACTAAAGGCGACAAAACTCTTTCCATATTCATAAGAAATCTCTACCAAGGGCAGAGTCGATTATTTCGACTATATCATAATTATGTGTATGTGAGTCACTATCAAGTAGTGATGAAGCCAGGTGTTCGCGAAAAGCTCAGCGTATCATTTCCCATCGGTACAGAATGGGAACTAGAACAAGGTCTACTAAAACTAGAAAGTTTGATGCTTTACTCCTAATTGTCTTGTGGATGTGTACTAGTGCAAATATCACTTCACGCGCACCTGTGTATTGTTAACGTCATCCGGACGGCTTTGTTGACGTAATCCGAATGTTATTGTGATGCTAGGTCGGAATGACGTCACATATAAACTACAAGAACCTACACTATTTTTTTGTTTTTTTGTTTTACCCCGCACTCTCCAATATTCCAGCTATGTGACGGCGGTCTGTAAATCATCAAGTCTGGACCAGACAATCCAGTGATTGACATCATGAGCATCAATCCACGCAATCGGGATACGATGGCATCCATTAACCAAGTCAGCGAGCTTGACCACCCGATCCCGTTAGTCGCCTCTTACGACAAGCATAGTCGCCTGTTACGACAAGCATGGGTTGTTGAAGACCTATTCTACCCCGGATCTTCGAGGGTCAGTACCCACACTAGAAATTCAGTGTCTTGGCTTTAGGTGTTGTCATCGGATATCTAAAGAGATAAAGAAATAAAAAACACACATGATATGATTTTTATGAATTGAATTGAATACCGAAAATGTCTACACATACTGACTCATCTGATTGACATAATCTGATTATTACAGATTGACATTTGACAGTTTGACAAACCTATTTAAGGTGGAGTACAATGGCCCGATATGCCTTCCTGAGTTTCTTGTTGGCTCTCGTTGTATGGCTTACACAGCCACGATTCTTGTAGGCATGACCTGTTGCAAGTCATGAGCTTATACACTTGGAATAGCAGCTTTGTTAATAAACTTTCAACATTCTTGCCTTTCTCTGCATTTTGAAATGCAAGTTTCAAGCGGTTTGCAAGGCATCTGACTGTAATGATCTTCAGCAACCCATGCGTGTCGTAAGAGGCGGCTTAAGGGTTCGGGTGGTCAGGCATGTCATCGTGTTCCACTTGCGTTGATCATTGACTTGCCTGTGCATGTGTCTGTGACGGGTGCCGCCGGTGGGGCAGGATACACTGACCTTGTAGAGAACATCTGGTATCATCACTGTTTGATAGTGATTAATAACCACATGCTTGTAAAGTGATCGGACCGCGATTCGCTGTGCAGAGTTGCGTCCCTTGGGCACGCCAGAAACCTATGATTGTGGGTTCGAATCCCGGTTCGCCCCAATTATGTTTCTAGGTTTGTCAGCACCATACCTGTGCTCGTGGGTTTCACCGAAGTGGTAAACGTCTGAGACCTGCATCACTTCGGGCTTTCCTCCTACATTAAGCTGACACGCCGCGATATAACTGGAATACTGTTAAAAGCGGCGTTAAACCCAACTCACTCACTCACTAAAGTGATCGGAATGGTACAATTGACCCTGCTTGTTGCAAAGATTTCTTATAATTGTGGCAAGCGGTTTGTTGCCTTTATTGTAAGTTTTAAACTTTTGAACATCGTTTTGCGGGAGTATAGAAACGGGTTCCGTCCGTCACATTTCGTTCCAAGAGCATAACTCCTAAACCGTTCAATGTGTCTTAATTTCTTCAGGCAAGTGCTGACCTGGTGCCTTTTACAATTTTTGTGCTTTGTTTAATCCTATAGTTTTGTGATTCAAAAAGGAACTGTCATTTCGTAAACATTTAATAATATTTCAATATAGAACGTATTCAGTTTTAATCGGCAATTTGTTTTCGTCGGCAATTCGTAAAAATACATTCTGCTTTCAGCAGCAATTTTTCATGGTTATCATGGATTATATTGTCAGCATGATGCGCGATGCTATCCATTGGTATAACGTTTACGTGGAGGTTTCAACGTATACTCATTAGCACTTGAGTTTTAAATGAAAACTGTGTGCTACCGGTAGAGAAGGGCACACCTGCACTCTTCGCGAACACCGGGTGTGGTTAATAATTTGCCATTTACGTACTGTGAAATCGTTTTCAGCAGTAAATCAAAACTGGTTATTCACTGTTGTGGACATTTTGAATCTGTGACCACGCCCGTATCGACCATTCGAGGTTCGAACATAAATTATGAAACTCGTTTTTTGCATAATATTGTGTCTGTGACATTTGAAAACGGAGGCGGAAATAAGAACAATCCAGTTATGATTGTCCTAGCGTGTGGCGCACATCAAGGAAGTTGAAAACGCTTTGGTTAACATGATTTTATATAGTTCGTGAAAACTGTGGTTTTTAATAACTGAAACAATGTCTCAAGCCCCGGAGAGAAAGCGAATGTGTAATACTAGGTTAATATGGCCGCTGTGTTCAAAGGGCATGATCGAGCACGTCACCCATCCTCTTATCCCGGGAAAAGGATTCAAGATGCACGTCCTTTTATGAAAATTCAAAGAGACCGTGTTATGAATAGGTTCAAATATATTAAGAAAGTGGTGATAAATTATTCTGTCACTCGAAACAAATTTGTTTTGCTATTGTCAGCATAATCTCACAGTTTCGTACATTGCATTTCTTTTGTAATTAATATCATTATAAATATTGTTACATTTTATAAGTTAGACTTTTTATGTGTAATACATTCAATTTTAGGTGTTTTATCTGATTCGAAGGGACCGTGGGACAACGTGGGACCTCGCTGATGGTGTGCCATCCTGTCCCGGCGCCATGTGAGGATGCGTATGTTATGATTCACTGGAATGCCTGGCCATGACCAAAGTATTTACAAACCGCTCCCCCCCCCCCCCCCCCCTCCCTCCCTCCCTCCCTCATTCACCCACAGTTAGACGACATGGAAATAACATTGACTATTTCCTGATTCGCATCTCCGTTCGATTATTCAGAATCTATTTTGAATATAAGCGTTCGAATTAAATTAATCTTGATAATCTTAAATATTCTATTCAACAAACTAAGTTACATGTGTCCAACCAGAATGTTTTTTATTCAAACTTTTTCATATGACCGTTAGCTGAAAGTACAGGTTGTTGAAAAAAATGTCTACCTTTAAAATGTGACCGCCTCCGTGGTCAAGTGGTAGAGCGTCCGCCCGGAGAGAACGGTCCGGGGTTCGATCCTCGACCGCGTCATACCAAAAGACGCTAAAAATGGTACCCTGTCTGGCGCTCGGCATTAAGGGGCTAAAACAAGGACTGGTCGGCTCGGAGTCAGCAGACTGTGTCTGAGTGGGGTATTCATGTTAAACTGCGGCATGGTATCTCAGTGAGCTAGCACAATAAATCGGCATCAGTCCGGACTAGTACAAGCAGCCATACACACACACACGTGCATGCACGTCGCTATATAAGTGCAATAATCTTGGACGCGACGTTAAACCCAATTTCACCTCACCTCACCACCTTTAACATGTAATATAAATTCGTAACATCCTAGATAACGATGTATATATGTATTAACCGATACGTATAAATCAGTTGTTGTCTAATATACAAGTCTAATATACTGTCCATGACACCCATGGCTAGGAAATGAATCCAGTTACAGCGGAACCTCTTTAATCTGGACAATACAGTACAAAGGGATATCGTCCGGATTATCTGTTTTTCTGATGAAAAATTCATGGGTACTTCGAGGTTCCTGGGCTGACGAAGTTTCATTGTATTCCTCATTTCGAGTGCAACTTGAAATAATCTAGGTATCAGGTGCTTTTAAAATGAAGTTAAGGTCGCTTAAAAGAAAGATAATAAGAAGTAATTATAATAAAACACGGGTAATTTCCGAAAGAGACATTGCTAGACTTATTTCAAGCGAACTACAAAATTACTATCTTGAAGTTTAAAAAGTAATATTCGTGTGCTCAAAGTCCTCTTTTTTTAATGGCTTGGGTTAGAGATTGATTTTAAAAAAACCCGTAGGAACAGTTGTCGAAATAAAAAATAAATGATTAAAAGCGGCGAAACCATTTCCATCTTCATAAGAAATTTCTGCCAAAATCAGAGTCGATTGTACGTTCACTTTCAAAGCACACTTTTAAAAGTGCTTTTTGAAAAAATTGTCTGGTGAAAACAATAACATTTAATTAATAAGTATATATTTGGAATGACAAGTCAAATAATTATCTAGCTTCCTACATGCATCTTGACCAACCTTAAGGTTTCCGTGGATTACTGAAATTAGTTAATCTGTTTTGGCTGATAATCAAGCTGACGTTTTATATTAACAGACTCGACTGGAAGACAAAATGACCGTTCTGAAATTCTCAGCTGTGACTGGTTGACAACGATGATCATGATCAGTTGAGTGTTTATCAAGAGCATGTGGTATTTATTTCCGTGTAATTGCATGTATTCATGATATAACGAGGCGGTTATTAATACTGTATTGTTTTCGTATCTGTCAGCATATGACAAATCACGTTGTAACTATTTGTCGATAATAACTTACGGTAAACAAGGCTAATTAAAGCAAGAATGCGGTCTTTGAGATTAGAGCAGAGAGATCACAAATGGAACATTCTCCACCGTGTCGTTGCAGCGTCAGTATCACAGGGCTTAAGGGGGCGGTCGGATAGCCTAGTGGTTAAAGCGTTCGCTCGTCAGGCCGAAGACCCGGGTTCGAGTCCCGACATGGGTACAATGTGTGAAGCCCATTTCTGGTGTCCCCCACCGTGATAATGCTGGAATATTGCTAAAAGCGGAGTAAAACCATACTCACTCACTCACTCACTCACTCACCCACCCACCCACCCACCCACTCACCCACTCACTCACTCACTCACTCACTCACTCACTCACTCACTCACTCAAGAGATGGTAACTATTAATACTGTTACTATTAATGACATGCTTCAACCAAGTCAGCGACCCTGTCCACCCGATCCCGTTAGTCGCCTCTTACGGCAAGCATGGGTTGCCGAAGACTTATTCTACCCCGGATCTTCACGGGTCGATTTCGTGTTACTATGCTGCAAGTGTCATGTGCTGGATATATTCAACACCCTCACAGAGCTACTATACCTTGTAAATTTAAACGCATAAATCAATAAATTCTTAATTTAGATCGTAAACCAAGTCCTTTTAGATGCTGGAAATGTTTAAATTCTAAACACAATTCTAAACATTTATGGGATACACGCATGTTTAGGCCTCTTAACACGTTTAAATAATGAGACAGGGTATCCGTTTAGGTTTGTGTTTAGTACGTAAACACATTGTAGACAGTGTCAGTGATGAAAGTTTTCACAGGCACGGGTTTGATCCAGACTTAGAATCAGGGGATCCTTACACGTCCAAGTGGCGTAACTCTGCGCTGCGAATTCATTAAGTGGACAGGAACACGACAGGGCCAGGTAACGGGCAACATATTCAATGGTATGTTTAATGTACGAGAAGTGTATTTCAAATGACATTTCTTTCCATTAGCAGTTAATATGGTTTCAAAATAAACAATCAATTTTTGAAAATTGTTGATAATGAAGATTACATTTACTATATCACACCTCAGACCGATTATTACCCTGTTTACACAACAAACCACCTGTCAACTCACACCAGGGTCACGTAATGCCGTTTTAATGAGCAGTGAGATCAAAGAGAACGTCACGTCTAATATTTTTAATCCTTTCCTATCTGCTGTACTTATGTAGTGGGCATTAAATATGACTATAAGATACTTTTTGATGGATAACAACTTCTTTTATTGATTTCTTTGTCAAGATGTTTCAGGGCTACTTCTTTCCTCTTCATCATGTTGATACTAAGCGCATCGAGTTGATATATATGGAAATGATGACATGTACAATCCCGTTACAAAATAACGGGATTAAATATATTTTTACCCCTTCATCGACATTTCATCATAACGTGTGTCTCGGACACAAGAATTTCGTGTTAGTTTCATATTTAATTTAACAAATAGACTCTTTAGAATACTCTTCACTATATCATTTATACAAATACATAATATCACAATAATAACAGTAGCATTTGTATTTGAGCATATACGATGTACATGTACCATTTACACGAGCTCTATTATATATTATATCAGCAGCTGATAATACATAGGAATGAAATAATTTTCATGTCGAATATATCGACATGTTGGACAAAAATCGAATGATTTTATTAAAGATATGTATATGCAACTGTGACCGGAATATATGAAGTTTTGTAAAACTACACACGGAAATTATATGGAAAATGTTACATGATGTAAGATGTTTTTTTTTAATTAATTAGAAATACACATTTTACTTCCTCATAGGTTAACGTATTAACTTCTTTGGTTAAAGCCACGTATTTATTTCTGTGAAAGGATGGACAAAATTGTTTGTTTGTTTTTAACCAGCATGTGAACCTCTTTAAAAATTATAAACTGAAACAAAATAATTTGAAAGATTTTTTGTTTTCGATAACACGGACAAAATAATTGCCATGTTGTGAAATGTTCAGCTCCTTTCTTTCACAGAGGGGCGGTCGGGTAGCCTAGTGGTTAAAGCGTCCGCACGCCACGCCGAAGACCCGGGTTCGATTCCCGACATAGGTACAATGTGTGAAGCCCATTTCTGGTGTCCCACGCCGTGATATTGCTGGAATATTGCTAAAAGCGGCGTAAAACCATACTCACTCACTCACTCTTTCACAGAAGGTAACCTTTGAATGACGATACGGTCACTCCAAATGCTTCCTCGACTGTAGTGTGCCCTTGAAGTTAACATAGCAAGGGGTTGAACACGGCCGAGGAGGGGTACCCAGGACTGGTAAATCCTTTTGCCTTGGTGGCAGACTCGGAATATCCATTTCAGCTTGCGAGATTCTCTTTGAGGATCTGTCTCTTGAACCTTTTTGAAATCTTCGGGACAAGTTTCTTACCCATCCGCCTCTGTGTCCAGGTGATCTTGGTGCAATGTTCGGACACATATCATTGACAGTACCTGGTAAGTGAAGACACGAGTCCCTTATGGGTAGAGCGGTGTGATCATGGTGGTTGAGATCAACGTTCTCCTGATGTGTAGAACGCGCTGGAGGCGCTTCACGAAGCCCGGGGCCAGGAGGGTTGTCCATTGAAAGCGTGATGACTGGACTGTTCACAATGTTAGCAAATGACGGCTCCCATGTATGTTTCAAACCTTCCGGTTTAGTGATGATTTTGACATCTTTCTGGGTGTCCGTTGTCACGTATATTGCCTTGGGCGCACAGCATCGCGGCAGCGTCCTCTGCACTGGCGTGATGTAAATATCAGAGTTCATGTTTGACCAACCGGACATGTCAGTTGGAGACTGATTGAGATCATTTTGCGAGTCTAAACTGTCCTCGGAGACACTGCTCTCTGACTCTGAAGAGGAGATGTATTGTGCAGACAACCCCGTGATACATTCCTTCTCGTCGGAGTCTCTTCTTCTTGGTACAGAACAAGGGATGCATTGCGTTGAATGACTGTTGAGACGTTCCTTATTGTTGGAAACAACTTTAGTACCATCCACGTCGCGATGATCACTTACGGCAGCTTTAATTTGTGTGCGACTTGATTTGTGATGGCCTGGTGATTTGTGATGCCCTGGTTTAGTTTTAGTCGATGTTCCTGTCTTCATCACCCAGAACGTGGGAGAGGAGTGTAGTGTGGATTTAGATCGGCCTCGTTTAGATGTACCATACGTATTATTTGATACCCATTTTCCGTAACGTGGACTTGCCTTTCCTACCTCCAATAACATTGATGATGCCGATTTTGACGTTAACGATTTATGTTTGTCGACGGGTTTTGGTGTACAATCATTCTCATTAGGTGCGGTCCTTTTTGACACGTTGATACGAAATCTGAAATTGAGAATTTGAATTGTTATGATTGTATACTGTATAATTAATAAATATAAATATGTTATGATCGTTTCTATGGTTAAACAATAATTTTGTATACATTCCAAATGAATTACACATTGAGTCTTCAAGTATCGATATATCATCGAACCATCACACAATTCATCCACCACTCTCCACCTGAGCGTCAAACAATTGATCCCCCCACATGGGTAACATGTGTGAAGCCCAATCGTGGGGGCCCCCGCCGTGGTATTGCTGTAATATAGCTAAAAGCGACGTAAGACTCACTCATTCACTCGCCCATCCACTCACTCACTCATTCACTCACCGAGCCATTCACTCACTCACTCGCCCATCCACTTACTTACTCACATAATTTATCCACCAATCTTCACCTGAGCGTCAAACAATTTACTCACCGATCTTTAGTTGACTTTTAAAGAATTTATCCATCAACATATTTAATGAAAACAAATTAGGGCTGGGACGAATTCAAATTTACTACCCGGGTACCCGACACCCTCTTACCCGGCTCTACCCGGATACCCACTGTAGGTCTCAAGAGTTGGGTACAAAATATCCGAATGGGAATTGTTTTACCGCAGCCCTGGCAAAAACTATTTTGATACATGATCATGTATACACTGCAGTTGATAGACGCTTTATCCTTACTCGAACATATAAAAGTCAGAACGAATGCCTGCACAGTGAGAAAGAAATGTGAACATTATAGTTATACTAGCTTGTAGTGTAACCATTGAGTTTTATTGTTATGTCATGTTATTGTAAACATTATGTCACGTGACTAACCACGGGTCCGGGTAGTCATGTGGGTACCCGAGTCCTACTCCGGACCCACCCGACCCGAGTACCCGAGTTACCCGTCCCAGCCCTAAAACAAATTACATCATTTTGCTTCATCTAAGCCACACGTATGCCTGATGAGAATGCCAATACCTTATAACACGTCCCATTTTAATTCTGGAAACCCAAAAGTCCATAAACTCTACGCTCTTTGCCCAGTCTCGGTTAAAGGTATTTACAAAATTAAACATGCCGTTTTCATGGGAACATACCAAGGAAGAAAAAATGAAAAAAAAATTGTTTAAAAACTCAATATTTAGACTATGTCGCCCATGGGCCTGCCCATGGGCGAAGTGTGGCCCATGGGTAGGCCCATGGGCAGGCCCATGGGCGAGAATATGTTCCTTTACTTAAAACTCATGTTTTTGTTTCGCAAATACATTTAATGTATTCATTCAAGTATCATGACACAAAATTTAACTCTTTTTAACTTAATTCAACGAGTTTATAGCGATATTGAAATATTTCGCCCATGGGCGAGAAAAAGGTCTGGCCCATGGGCGAGTATATGTTCCTTTACTTAAAACTCATGATTTTGTTTCGCAAATACATTAAATGTATTCATTGAAGTATCATGACACAAAATTAAACTCATTTTAACTTAATTCAACGATTTTATAGCGATATTGAAATATTTCGCCCATGGGCGAGAAAAAGGTTTGGCCCATGGGCGAGAATATGATCCTTTACTTAAAACTCATGTTTTTGTTTCGCAAATACATTTAATGTATTCATTCAAGTATCATGACACAAAATTTAACTCATTTTAACTTAATTCAACTATTTTACGGCGTTATTAAAATATTTCGCCGATGGGCGAGAAAAAGGTTTGGCCCATGGGTAGGCCCATGGGCAGGCCCATGGGCGAGAATATGTTCCTTTACTTAAAACTCATGTTTTTGTTTCGCAAATACATTTAATGTATTCATTCAAGTATCATGACACAAAATTTAACTCTTTTTAACTTAATTCAACGAGTTTATAGCGATATTGAAATATTTCGCCCATGGGCGAGAAAAAGGTCTGGCCCATGGGCGAGTATATGTTCATTTACTCAAAACTCATGTTTTTGTTTCGCAAATACATTAAATGTATTTATTCTAGTATCATGACACAAAATTTAACTAATTTTTACTTAATTCAACTATTTTACGGCGTTATTAAAATATTTCGCCCATGTTTTCGTCAGTCCCTTTCAAGCATCAACTAACTGTTTGCAAAGTATATTGTATCATGTGAAATATACTTTATATTATATCATTACATTACTGTTTAAAAAGGGCATTTGGTTGGATGTTTCCTTTAGTTCTACAAATTTCACCTGTTTTACATATTGTAGCGATCTTTAATGAACCCGGCCTTACCTCTCAAAACGTTTTGACAGTTTATCATACGAATTCATGTGCGTGTACTCCAATTCATTGGAGTTATTTTCCACAACATTAAATTTTAGTTAGTTTCTATTTCATTTCCCATTTAATGTCCCGTTGATACATCACACTGGGCAATTACGTGACACCAGGTATGCAATATACAGGTACGCGTGCGCGTATTTTAATGAAAAAAACTATTCGTCTTTTATTGCATAACGTTTGGCTGAATATCTTACATTCTAATGAAATCTCGAAATAATTTTTTAATTACATGCGGTTTCGAACTGACCAGTGGGAATTATGTTTCAATGCGATTGAGGAAAACGTGAGTGAATATTGTGACACTAAAGCAACTTTTAACTGCATTGTCACTTTTGGTATGAAAATGGTAACAGTTCAGAAAAAACAAAAGCCTTCTTATGATAATTCTCATTAGTACGTTGTATCTAATTACAGTGTCGGTCTTATTTACAGGTGATTCTACAATACCTGCTCTCGGTCAATTACGATCTACCACACCACGCGTGAATAAACAGTTATGCAGGTGTTGCTGTGGGCAAATACCTAGCCTGAAAATGTTTATTTTTTTTAGGTTACATGTTTTACAAATGCTCGTTGATATGTGGATATATTAAGCACAAAGACAAAAAAAATGTTTATGAAAGATGAATTAGTGCCTTGATATATTCATCGAGATGTGTATCATCGTGTAATGGGGTCATTCAATAAACGTATGTTTGGAGGAGATATCAAAGGAGCCGCCCAAAATACACAGTGTCGTCCGGTGAACTACCACCCCACCCTGTCCATTAGAGTTATGTAATCGGTACACAAATATATTTGATGCGGTGTCAGTGCGGAAGGAGTTTGAATTACGTCCGCCAGTTGTCACAGAAATCCTCAAAGTATAGAAGCAATAAACAAGGTACTAATTACCTAGTGACGCACGTAACAACGACTGTCAATAGGGAAAATGGTGAAAACAAATTGAAATAGATTTTAATAAAACATTATTGTACTACATAACTCGCAAAAGCGGTGCCTAAAATTGTTTGACCGTGTTATGTGTGTTGTAAACTGACGAATAGCAAGTAATTGTCATGCTGTACGCATGGTTCCATATACAAATTCAGTTATACAACCGGTATGAAACTGAGAACTGAGATACCAAGTACAACCTGCATTCACACACGGAAGCAATATACTTGTGTGTATGCCCTCTCCTCTAAAAAATGTATCACTAAAGTATTTGCATTGTAATAAATATAGTAATGATAAAACTTGGTAATTTGGTAGGTCTCCGACAGATATGATTTTCAGTTTTTTTACACCTTTGATTGATACGGATTACGTACCTGTTGTCTAGTCACTGTCTCTAATGTATCTGCTTGTTAGAAATTTCAAATGTCTTGTTATAGCACTGTTCCTAAAATACGGCAGTTTCTTTTATCGGGTATAAATAGTTGATTCGTCTTGTCACGCAGTCATTTTTTACTTGATCGAATGATTTCCACAAAAAATTACGGCAGAGAGTTTTGTATTTTATTATATTTTTAGAAGATTTTAGAAGATGCTTACATCACTGTATCTCAGAACGTAAAACTGATAACATTCAAACATGTAATTAGTACACAGTTAATTGTTACATATACTTTCCTGCATATTCCTTTTTGAACAAAAAGCCTACATGTATACTGATATCGGTGTCCACTGTTAAAAGGGTATTAGTGCAGTCAGCCATGGTAAATGGAGAGACAATAATAAGGTGATTAATTATAGTCTGTTGCAGAATATGCGGTATAAGTGTAGTCATTGATACATATACACATTATACATATACAGATGAAATACACGATATGATGCAGTGCAAGAACAAATTAAGATACGGTTTCTATTAAAAATAATTATACGATTTTGGATTTAATTAGCATGTTTAAATTTTCAAGCCAACACGGCTGAGATACAGCATCGGCATACTCAACTGGAGTTGTTTTCTGCCGGTCGTAAGTTCATTGTTTGACTGAGCACACTCGTGTCGGGGTTTCGATATTTTCTTCTCTTTGTTGGCAGCCTGCCACCGGTCTGAATTTTGAGAAAGGTCTCAGCATGGGACTGTTAATAACTTCTTAATGATGTCTACAAGCTTACAAACTTGTAGATGTTGGGTGCGGTTAGGACCAAACTTTTTCAGCTCAGAGTGTTAGTGGTCCTGGAACCCATAGTGTCAAACAGGTTCTGCACAAAACGTCCATCAGATTCTACTGTTCAGCAACATTGTCACTGAATTTCAGAACTCTGGCATGATGTAATAATCAAGGATTTCGAAGGTGAACGAGGGGAAAGGCAGACGCACGTGGATTTACCCTCAGGTTATTATTGTCTGGAGTTCACATTTTGGGGCATTTCATATACTAATTGAACAGAGTTCACCTGCACATGTCCACTTTAGTGATACAGACTGTAACCAAAAATGCAATGAGCCGTAGCTCTTAATCCCTTATAACAACGGTAACAACAACCAGGGTGAGGACACAGTAAGGTTAAACCGTGTCCAACAGACAATCTGAGGTGGCTATCTCCCATCAAGTCAGCTCTGTTTTTAAGCGCATAGTTATGTTTTTACATATTGAAATAAAAGGAATTAAAAAAATTATATTTAACAAACCTACACATTACCAAATACAAAACTTTATAACCCTCTCTAGACTTCGTTCCAATTAACCTGGATCATTAAACTCGCTCACGAAGGTCGTATGCGAC